CTGAGGTTCTGAGTGTTTAATTTGGGTTTCATTCCCGTGATCCTCATCGTTGTCAATCCACTGCTGGATGAAGGCCTCCCCGTGTCCTCCGCGCCACCCGTCACGATCCTGCGGTGTTATAACAACAACAACGCGTAGCGCACCAGCTGATTCCATTGCTCCATCTCCCCCGTGCACGTCCTCTCGTTATAATAACAACAAGACGTAGCGCACCAGCTGATTCCATCGCTCCATCTCTCCCCGTGCACGTGCTCTCGTTATAATAACAACAACACGTAGCGCACCAGCTGATTCCATTGCTCCATCTCCCCCCGTGCACGTCCTCTCGTTATAATAACAACAAGACGTAGCGCACCAGCTGATTCCATCGCTCCATCTCTCCCCGTGCACGTGCTCTCGTTATAACAACAACAACACGTAGCGCACCAGCTGATTCCATCGCTCCATCTCCCCCCGTGCACGTCCTCTCGTTATAATAACAACAACACGTAGCGCACCAGCTGATTCCATTGCTCCATCTCCCCCGTGCACGTCCTCTCGAATGCATTCCATTCCTCGGCTGCCACTCCATCATTATTTTTGTCCATCGGCCATCAACCCATCTCTCTGCGTAAATTCCACATTCCTGTCGACGCAAGCACTGTGCTCTTATAAATCGCCACGACGGCTTTACACAAAGTAGAACGACATTTTACCCGGTCTGTGAAGAATTTAACTCGCAGCCTTTTGATTGAGTCATCCGTTGTGACTGCAATACAACACAGAAAATACAGTGCTGTAGTAGTTTGTATAAAACTTCAAGTGCCGAGTGGGTTACGAGTGTGCTTGTGTGCAAGTGAGTGTGCGCATGGGGGAGAGGTGGCGTAGCGATTAACGCGCTGCGCTACGAACCCGGCGACCCGAATTCTGTTCCCACTCACGGCCACCAACACCAGCGACGATTATCTGAACCGGTTCTGGGCCTCTGGGGAGACAAAGGCAGGCGGGCGTGGTTTCTGTGCCGGCCTTCATAGGTGCTCGCTAACAGCACTTGCCCAAACAGTCTGTTACAGGCTATATGGGGGATCTTCTTGGTTCTTTCGGTAAAGTCACGTAGAAGGAAAATAATAAAAATAAAACATAAAATACAATTCTCACGACGTTTCGGCCACAACGCAAGCAGCCGTCTTCAGGTGGCTGCTTGCGTTGTGGCCGAAACGTCGGGAGAATTATTTTATTATGTTTTATTTTTATTATTTTATTACTTCCCTTCTACGTGACTTTACCGAAAGAACCAAGAAGATGAATCCCTGCAGTCACGAAAGCTTTAAATCGAAAAATATATGGGGGATATTTGTCTTTTTTTTCGTGCGCACGTGTCAAAGTGTATACAGATGGCGATGTGTGAGGGTGTTCCTGCGTATGTGCTTTTAATAATGTGCCACGTGGAAGTTGGTGAGCGTGTGAGAGTTTACCTGCATAAGACTGCATAGAGAAGGACGTTTGATTGGGCGTGTGTAAGATTGTGTAGTGGGGAGTGGTAGTGGAGTCGTACCAACAACAGCGGACAATTTCGATTCCCGCTCACGCCGCGAATGGGGGTACCTGGTGCGGTGCTGAAAAACATCGACACTCGGGAGACAAAAAGCAGCCCAGCGTGGTGCTGGCCCACCCACCCACCCACCCCCTCGTGTGACGTGCCGGCCTTCATCGGTGCTACTAGCTGATAGCACTTGCCCCAACAGTTTGTCACGGGCCATACGGAGGTATCTTTGTCTTTGTTTGAGTGCGTATATATGTGGGTGTGTGCACAAATGTGTAGATGATGTGGGTGTGTGGGAATGCATTTTGTAAGTATAAAGATGGTGTTGCGCCATAGTTAATGTGTGTGCAGGACTGGGCTGTGAAAGAGTGTATTGAGATGTGTGCGTGGCTGTGACTTGGGAGCGGTGGTGTAGCGGTTAGCACGTGACGCTACCACTACCCGAGTTCGATTCCCGCTTACGGACAACACCGGTGACGATTATCCGAACCGGTCGTGGCCGTCCCTTAGGTCAACTCAGCCTAAAAAAACGAGTATCTGGTAAGGTGTTTAAACATCACCACTAGGGAGACAAAGGCGGTCGGGCGTGGTGTTGGCCACCCACCCCCTCGTGTGTCGTGCTGGCCTTTGTAGGTGCTCGCTAACAGCACTTGCCCCTACAGTCTTGTTACAGGCTATACGGGGGGGGGGGGGGATCTTTGTGTATTTCTGGATGTGTGCGAGTGGTGGCTGTACCCTCTGTGCGTTGGTAAGAATGTTTGTTCCTGTGAGGCTCGCCTTCGGTGACGATGCTTTAATGCAGCTGCAGCTGTTGCCACCGTTAACTGGGCCATCGCTGAACGCATTCCGTCGGTTCTACTGTGCGCGGTGTCTCGCCATGCGGGTCATCGCCTGCCTAGGCCGCGAACGTACACATTTGGTCGCCCAGTTTCTTATCGGCGTCTTCGCGGTCGCTCGCAACCACCGTCATCGCCAAGACAAAAATCCCCGCTATCGCTGAGACCAGGGAGTCAGGACGTATTCGCCACATTGCATGCATAGCGGCTCTTGAAATATTGGAATTCTTTCGTTACCGAATTCGAAATAAATGGCCGTTGTTATTTTTGGTTTGCCGACCCCAAGTGCTGTTAGCGAGCACCTGTGAAGGCCGGCATGGCACATGGGGGGGATTGGTGGCAAGCATTACGCCCGGCCACCTTTATCTCCCCAGTAGCGATGTTTATGCATCGACCCAGGTACTCATTTTGAGGTTGAGTATACCTAGGAGAGGCCCAGGACGGATTCAGATAATCGTCACTGGTGTTGGCCTTGAGTGGAAATCAAACTCGGTTCGCCAGGTTCTTAGCGCAGCGTGCTAACCGCTGCACTACCGCTCCCCACATCACCACCGCCATCACCAACACCGTGATCATCACACCAGCGTCTTCATCAGCCACCACCATCATCCTTACCACCGTCACCATCAACAGTATCATCAACATTGTCACCACCTTACCGAGCATCATTACTACCATCACCACTTCAACATCAACGCCAACTTACGTTACTGCTAGCATCAACATCAACACCATCATTGCCACCACTACCACCTTTTGCAGGATAAGTGCCACAATAACCACCACCATCTTCACCTTCCCGACCGTCAACATGACTGCTAGCATCACCATCACCGCCGCCATCATCACCACCGGTGTCACCGCCATGTTCATTTCCATCATCGTAACCACCGTCACTGCCAGCATTACGATCATCACCACCACCAACATGACTGATAGCTTCACTATTATCATCATCACCACCGCATTACGATCATCACCACCACCAACATGACCGATAGCTTCACTATTATCATCACCACCACCGCATTACGATCATCACCACCACCAACATGACTGATAGCTTCACTATTATCATCATCACCACCGCATTACGATCATCACCACCACCAACATGACCGATAACTTCACTATTATCATCACCACCACCGCACCCCCCAGAACCATCGCTCCACCATCACCCCACTACAGTTACTATTATCAACAACAGTCGCCCTTCACAAGTAAGTGATGGTAACATCACCACTTGAATTGTGACAGGCTAAGGTGCATTTTGAGGCCCCTTCTTGCTTCACACTGTGAACAGCCTTGCAGTCTGTTGGGCAAAACAGGCGCGTCTTTGTATGCCTGTGTATGTATACATGTACGCGTTTCGTGAAGGATGTTACTGGGCAGTTGGAGGCAGGTGCCCTCGAACAATAAGTGAGGGCAGAGGAGCGACGCTCACAACAACGAGCAGAGCGCTGGGCGGCTAAAATTCAGCAAGTTGGCACAGTAGGGGGCACAGCTGGGTGCATCTGCCAGTCATCTCAGTCGGTCAACCCATGGCATCCTGCTGAGTCTGTCCCATTACCTATCAGCCAGCCTTTGCCACTTCACGTGGCCTCAAAGTGCACCTGGCCTGGCACCAGCACCGTTGTGACATCACCGTCACTCAGTGGCGGGTGGCGGGTATTGTGGGGAGCGGTGGTAAAGTGATGAACACACTACGCCACGAACCCGGTGACCCGAGTTCGAATCCTGGTCACAGCTGACATTGTATTCCAGAGGTATCTGAACTGCTCCTGGACCTCCCCTAGGTTGACTCAACCTTAATACATGCTACATTGTGTGATTATAATTATCAGCACTGGAGCCAGAGCTGGCCGGGCATCATGCTTGCCACACCTCTCGCCAGAGGTCACAATCGGGTACCCGATACCCGTACCCTACCCGATACCCGGCCGGGTACGGGTACCCGTTTGCGACCCTTGTGCGGCCGGGTACGGGTACGGAATCAAAACCCGTTTGCGACCTCTGCCTCTCGCTCCATCTTGGCATTAATGTGTGGTGTGTGTGTGTGTTGGAAGCATTCACCCTCCAGCAACAATGGAGGGCAGAGGAGCGACGCTCGCAACAACGAGTGGAGCGCCGGGCGGCTAAAACACAGTTTTCACAATAGGGAGCATAGTTGGTGCATCTGCCACTCATCTCAGTCGGTCAACCCATGGCTTCTTGGTCTAAAACTAAACTAATTTTATTTTACCAGGTAAGACCCACTGAACTGCAATTGATAGCTCAAAGAAGTGGCTTATTTGGAAATTTATAGCAGCCAATACTCGAAATGGATGTTTCTAATTGTGGAGGGAAAAATACTAGAGAACCCGGAGAAAAAACCCATTTGAAGAGAGACATGCAGACTCCACATATACAGCAGGCGTCCGGGTCTGGATCGAACCCGCGACCTCCTTGATACCAAGCGAGGTAGTTAACATCTCGCCATCGTGGCGTCTGTTCTGTGACGACTTGCCAGCAACGAGTCTTTGACACTGCACATGACCTCAACGTGCACCGAGCGTGGCACAAGCGGCCGTGGTGACGTCGCCGCCACTGAGTGCTCAACGGCGGTTGTTGTCGCTGCTGCTGTTGTCGTGCGTGCGAAGGTTTGCGATGGCCGTCAACGTTCACGCCACGTCTGTGACGACAGAAAACCTCTCCCGGCACGACATCATCAACTGGATCAACGAAACACTGCAGCTGCAATACAGCAAGATCGAACAGCTCTGCTCTGGTAAGCCTTGCCCCGCCACCCATCGCTACCGCTCTCCTGCCCATGCCCTCACAGTTCTACCTCACCAGCCCAGCCACGTCTTACCAGCCACATCTACCCGGCCATCCGCCAGTGGTCGCAACCGGGTACCCGATACCCGTACCCTACCCGATACCCGGCTACCCGTACCCGGCCGGGTACGGGTAGCCGTTTGCGACCCTGGTGCGGCCGGGTACGGGTAGGCCGTGAGTCACTGATGAGTAACCGTTTGTCACTCATTTCTTGTAGGGTACGGGTAGGGAACGGGTACCCATACCCGGCCGGGTACGGGTACGGGTACCCATTTGCGACCCTGGTGCAGCCGGGTACGGGTACGGGTAAGGAATCTAAACCTGTTTGCGACCTCTGCCATCCGCCCATCTCCCCCCAACTCCGCCAGACCTGCCGTGTCGGATGAACCCCTTGCCCCACCTAACCATGTCATCCACGAGTATTCGTCCTTGTCCTGTCTGCCCTGCCCTTTGCCCCCACAGACATGCCCTCTGACCTACGAGATCTGCCCCCTCATCCACGAGACCTGCCCTTGACCCCGCCAGACCTGCCATCATATATAATAGACCCATGCCCCTGTACCACTTTAGATCTGTCCTCTGGCCCACGCAAAGCTAACGTTGTTGTGTGTACGCTTTGTGTGTTCTCTATTGTGAGGTAGGTTTTGTCGGAGTAACTGCCAGTAAGGTCAATGGTGTCACACATGCGGTGTGGTGTGTGTGCATTGCACGGTGCGTGTCGCATGTTTGAACGTGTAGATTGTTGTACGTGCGGGGGTTTACGCGATACGTGAAGCGCGTGAAGTGGCATGTGTGTTGTATGTGCTCACAAATCCTTGGAAGATCTGGACACATTCCCAATCGGTGAGTTCCTCCGCCAGGCAAGGGCTGCCTTGGCTGGGTCATGTAGCCCGCATGCCCAGCCACCACATGCCCAAGTAGCTTCTGTTTGCTCAGATAGAGAGGACTAAACAGGCATGACACGGGCGAGAGAAGAGATGGAGCTGATGCGAGCCGAGTAGACATGCCGAAGACCGGTACCAGCGGTGTAAAGATTGGCCTCTTGCACCTGGGTCTGTCCCGTGACCTCCTGCCAGCGAGCCATCGACACTTAACGGGGCCTCAAAGTGCGCCTGGCACACGCGCCATGGTGACGTCACCACCACTTAGTGACAAATTGCGGCAGAATGATGCGCTGTCTATATGATGTCATGTGTGCATTGTATGCATGCTATGTGGGGGGTTTGTGTGTGTGCACCAGATATTCCTTACCATAAGTTAACGGACGTGCATTTGTTTTGTGCTGTTGTGATAATGCTACATCGTGTTGCGTGTATTGTGTACGATGAACGTTTATCATGGGACCTTTTTTGCCACCCACCCCCTCGTGTGTCGTGCCAGCCTCCGTAGGTGCTCGCTTAACAGCTCTTGCCCCGACAGTCTGTTAAGGCTATACGGGGGGGGTGGGTCTTTGTCTTTGTATAGGTGTGGCATACTGCCAGTTCATGGACATGCTGTTCCCCGGCTGCATCTTGCTCAAGAAGGCCAAGTTCCAGGCCAAGCATGAGCACGAATATCTGCACAACTTCAAGCTGTTACAAGTCGCCTTCAAGAAGATGGGCGTGGACAAGGTAAGGGCATGTTTCCCGTGACCCAGAAGATCCTTTCTGTAAAAACACCGTTGCTGAGCACGTTCCCAGAGAGCCCAGGACGTCGTGCGGCCAGCTACCAACAGCACCGTCGTCAAACTTGCGATAGGTTCGAGTTTGACGTGCTTGACGGGGTGGGTAGCGCAAGGGAGAGAATTCCAAAGTGGGGGGGGGGGGGAAGTTTGTTGTTGTGACCTGCAGTGTGGTGAGCGAGTGGATGAGTGAATGAGTCATCTTCTTGGTTCTTTCGGTAAAGTCACGTAGAATTGAAATAAGAAAATAAGAAAAAAAAACACAATAAAATAATTATTTTATTATGTTTTCTTTTTATTATTATTATCGGTAAAGTCACGTAGATAAAATAATTATTTTACTATGTTTTATTTTTATTATTTCATTATTTCAATTCTACGTGACTTTACCGAAAGAACCAAGAAGATGAATCCCTGCAGTCACGAAAGCTTTAAATCGAAGAGTGAATGTGTTGTTGTGGCCTAGAGTGTGGTGAGCTCGTCGCTCGGTGGATGAGTGATTGAGTGTTGTTGTGACCTGCAGTGCAGGGAGCGAGTGGATGAGTGAATGAGTGTTGTTGTGACCTGCAGTGTAGTGAGCGAGTGGATGAGTGAATGAGTGTTGTTGTGACCTGCAGTGCAGTGAGCGAGTGGATGAGTGAATGAGTGTTGTTGTGACCTGCAGTGCAGTGAGCGAGTGGATGAGTGAATGAGTGTTGTTGTGACCTGCAGTGCAGTGAGCGAGTGGATGAGTGAATGAGTGTTGTTGTGACCTGCAGTGAGCGAGTGGATGAGTGAATGAGTGTTGTTGTGACCTGCAGTGAGCGAGTGGATGAGTGAATGAGTGTTGTTGTGACCTGCAGTGCAGTGAGCGAGTGGATGAGTGAATGAGTGTTGTTGTGACCTGCAGTGAGCGAGTGGATGAGTGAATGAGTGTTGTTGTGACCTGCAGTGAGCGAGTGGATGAGTGAATGAGTGTTGTTGTGACCTGCAGTGGATGAGTGAATGAGTGTTGTTGTGACCTGCAGTGAGCGAGTGGATGAGTGAATGAGTGTTGTTGTGACCTGCAGTGCAGTGAGCGAGTGGATGAGTGAATGAGTGTTGTTGTGACCTGCAGTGAGCGAGTGGATGAGTGAATGAGTGTTGTTGTGACCTGCAGTGTAGTGAGCGAGTGGATGAGTGTTGTTGTGACCTGCAGTGCAGTGAGCGAGTGGATGAGTGAATGAGTGTTGTTGTGACCTGCAGTGTAGGGAGCGAGTGGATGAGTGAATGAGTGTTGTTGTGACCTGCAGTGCAGTGAGCGAGTGGATGAGTGAATGAGTGTTGTTGTGACCTACAGTGCAGTGAGCGAGTGGATGAGTGAATGTGTTGTTGTGACCTGCAGTGCAGTGAGCGAGTGGATGAGTGAATGAGTGTTGTTGTGACCTGCAGTGTAGTGAGCGAGTGGATGAGTGAATGAGTGTTGTTGTGACCTGCAGTGTAGTGAGCGAGTGGATGAGTGAATGAGTGTTGTTGTGACCTGCAGTGTAGTGAGCGAGTGGATGAGTGAATGAGTGTTGTTGTGACCTGCAGTGCAGTGAGCGAGTGGATGAGTGAATGAGTGTTGTTGTGACCTGCAGTGCAGTGAGCGAGTGGATGAGTGAATGTGTTGTTGTGACCTGCAGTGCAGTGAGCGAGTGGATGAGTGAATGTGTTGTGACCTGCAGTGCAGTGAGCGAGTGGATGAGTGGATGAGTGTTGTTGTGACCTGCAGTGCAGTGAGCGAGTGGATGAGTGAATGTGTTGTTGTGACCTGCAGTGCAGTGAGCGAGTGGATGAGTGGATGAGTGTTGTTGTGACCTGCAGTGCAGTGAGCGAGTGGATGAGTGGATGAGTGTTGTTGTGACCTGCAGTGCAGTGAGCGAGTGGATGAGTGTTGTTGTGACCTGCAGTGCAGTGAGCGAGTGGATGAGTGTTGTTGTGACCTGCAGTGTAGTGAGCGAGTGGATGAGTGTTGTTGTGACCTGCAGTGCAGTGAGCGAGTGGATGAGTGGATGAGTGTTGTTGTGACCTGCAGTGCAGTGAGCGAGTGGATGAGTGGATGAGTGTTGTTGTGACCTGCAGTGCAGTGAGCGAGTGGATGAGTGGATGAGTGTTGTTGTGACCTGCAGTGCAGTGAGCGAGTGGATGAGTGAATGAGTGTTGTTGTGACCTGCAGTGCAGTGAGCGAGTGGATGAGTGAATTAGTGTTGTTGTGACCTGCAGTGCAGTGAGCGAGTGGATGAGTGTTGTTGTGACCTGCAGTGCAGTGAGCGAGTGGATGAGTGGGTGGGTGGATGAGTGTTGTTGTGAGCGAGTGGATGAGTGTTGTTGTGACCTGCAGTGCAGTGAGCGAGTGGATGAGTGAATGAGTGTTGTTGTGACCTGCAGTGCAGTGAGCGAGTGGATGAGTGAATGAGTGTTGTTGTGACCTGCAGTGCAGTGAGCGAGTGGATGAGTGAATGAGTGTTGTTGTGACCTGCAGTGCAGTGAGCGAGTGGATGAGTGGATGAGTGTTGTTGTGACCTGCAGTGCAGTGAGTGAGTGGATGAGTGGGTGGGTGGATGAGTGTTGTTGTGAGCGAGTGGATGAGTGTTGTTGTGACCTGCAGTGCAGTGAGCGAGTGGATGAGTGAATGAGTGTTGTTGTGACCTGCAGTGCAGTGAGCGAGTGGATGAGTGAATGAGTGTTGTTGTGACCTGCAGTGCAGTGAGCGAGTGGATGAGTGGATGAGTGTTGTTGTGACCTGCAGTGTAGTGAGCGAGTGGATGAGTGGATGAGTGTTGTTGTGACCTGCAGTGCAGTGAGCGAGTGGATGAGTGAATGAGTGTTGTTGTGACCTGCAGTGCAGTGAGCGAGTGGATGAGTGGATGAGTGTTGTTGTGACCTGCAGTGTAGTGAGCGAGTGGATGAGTGAATGAGTGTTGTTGTGACCTGCAGTGTGGTGAGCGAGTGAATGAGTGAATGAGTGTTGTTGTGACCTGCAGTGCAGTGAGCGAGTGGATGAGTGAATGAGTGTTGTTGTGACCTGCAGTGCAGTGAGCGAGTGGATGAGTGAATGAGTGTTGTTGTGACCTGCAGTGTAGTGAGCGAGTGAATTAGTGGATGAGTGTTGTTGTGACCTGCAGTGCAGTGAGCGAGTGGATGAGTGAATGAGTGTTGTTGTGACCTGCAGTGCAGTGAGCGAGTGGATGAGTGAATGAGTGTTGTTGTGACCTGCAGTGCAGTGAGCGAGTGGATGAGTGGGTGGGTGGATGAGTGTTGTTGTGAGCGAGTGAATGAGTGTTGTTGTGACCTGCAGTGCAGTGAGCGAGTGGATGAGTGAATGAGTGTTGTTGTGACCTGCAGTGCAGTGAGCGAGTGGATGAGTGGATGAGTGTTGTTGTGACCTGCAGTGTAGTGAGCGAGTGGATGAGTGAATGAGTGTTGTTGTGACCTGCAGTGTGGTGAGCGAGTGAATGAGTGAATGAGTGTTGTTGTGACCTGCAGTGCAGTGAGCGAGTGAATTAGTGGATGAGTGTTGTTGTGACCTGCAGTGCAGTGAGCGAGTGGATGAGTGAATGAGTGTTGTTGTGACCTGCAGTGTAGTGAGCGAGTGAATTAGTGGATGAGTGTTGTTGTGACCTGCAGTGCAGTGAGCGTGTGGATGAGTGGATGAGTGTTGTTGTGACCTGCAGTGCAGTGAGCGAGTGGATGAGTGAATGAGTGTTGTTGTGACCTGCAGTGCAGTGAGCGAGTGGATGAGTGTTGTTGTGACCTGCAGTGCAGTGAGCGAGTGGATGAGTGTGGTTGGGGCCTATAGTGTTGTGAGCGAGTGGATGAGTGTTGTTGTGACCTGCAGTGTGGCGGTTGACCGATGTGGATGAGGCAAGAGTGTGGGAGAATCGAGTCCTCAACGTGGGAGGAGGAATTAACCACGAGGGAGATGAAGGCGGCCGGTGTGGTGCTCGCCACACACCACCTCGCTCTCGTGCCGTGCCAGCGTTCATAGCTACCTTGCCAAGTATTCCACGAGGTCGTGGGTTCCATCCCGATCCTGACGCCTGTTTATTTGTAGTTTGCATGTTTTCTCCGGGTCCTCCACTTTCCATCTCTACATTTGGAATGAATATCATGCAAATCTTGACTTGAAGCTTTCGTGGCTGCAGGAATTCATATTCGTGGGTCTTTCGGTTGAAGTCACGTTGATGGGTTCAAAGAAAATAATAAAAATAACAAAAAACTACGACGTTTCGATCGCAACGCAAGCAATCGTCATCGGGAGAAAAAAAAGTGGGGAAGCTGCTGAGGCAGGCTGTTTTGAAGGTTTGAAACGGGTGTGTAGCCCAAGACTCTTAAGCGAAGTCGGCGGGGCTAGTGATGTTAAAGTGAGAAATTTGCATGTCAATGTAAGATCGGAGAGCTTAGAATTTCGACGCGATAAGCCACTTCGTTGAGCCCCCATGATTTGTGGCCACGTCGCTTCTGAAAAAGAGCTGTGGAGCTCGGTGGACCTCATACTCTTAGGTTTTTCGGTAAAGTCACGGAGGGAAAAAAAATAATAAAAATATAATTGAAATAATAATAGAAATTAAGTAATAAATCACGACGTTTCGGAGGCAACGCAAGTCTCCGTCATCAGGTGGGACCGTCACAGCCAGATTTACTGTCTCAAGTGAGGCAAGTTTCCAAGAGTCAAGCTCTTAAATACAAGTTTAAGGGGGGAGGGAAGGGGGAGGGGCTTATCTGAATGTGGTAGCCAATCAGTGGAACGTGTTAGGGGGGGGGGGGCGGGGCTAAAAGAGAACAGTTGGTGCATCTTGTTGATGCAGGTAAGGTCAGTGGATCTTACCTGCTAAAATAAAACTAGTTTTAATAGTTGTTATCTTTGTGCTGCGCTCGCACGCACACACACACACTCCCCAGGTGATACCGGTGGACAAGCTGGTGAAGAGCAAGTTCCAGGACAACTTTGAGTTCGTGCAGTGGTTCAAGAAGTTCTTCGACGCCAACTACGACGGCAAGGAGTACGACCCGATGGGAGCGAGGCACGGCATGCAGGGCCCCGTGGCGTCTGGCAGCGTCGAGCAGCTGGCGCCGAAGACGCGCAAGCCGGTCTGCCCAACCGGTGAGGGCAATCGGTCGCTCGCGCCGGCACCCGCACCGTCGCAAAGTCGGCACGAGATGAAGTTGAATGAAATGCGATCGCAGCAGTTGTTGTCAATCCACTAATGGGTGAAGGTTCCTATGTGCCGTGGAATTCATTGGTGAGGTGTGTCGGGGGATTGACCATACTTCTTCACCAACGCTGGTCACTGCGAGCTGGTGAGGTGTGGGGGAGGGTGCATTTATCCTTGGCTGGGAACCGTGCTGTCAAGCGCGGGGTGACCCGGCCCCGTCCGCACTGCGCTTGGTGTAGAACTCGATGCGTAGCGGCAGTCGGATTGGGAGCCCTGGTGGAGATGTTAACTACCTCGCCTGGTATGTAGGAGGTCGTGGGTTCGATCCCGACCCTGACGCCTGCTGCTGTACATTTGGAGCTTGCGTGTCTCTCTCTCTCATCATCATCATCACGGTGGCTAGGAGATGTTAACTACCTCGCCTGGTATGCAGGAGGTCGTGGGTTCGATCCCGACCCTGACGCCTGCTGCTGTCTATTTGGAGTTTGCGTGTCTCTCTCTCTCATCATCATTGCGGTGGCTAGGAGATGTTAACTACCTCGCCTGGTATGCAGGAGGTCGTGGGTTCGATCCCGACCCTGACGCCTGCTGCTGTATATTTGGAGTTTGCGTCTCTCTCTCTCATCATCATCATCACCACGGTGGCTAGGAGATGTTAACTACCTCGCCTAGTATGCAGGAGGTCGTGAGTTCCATCCCGACCCTGATGTCTGCTGCTGTATATTTGGAGTTTGCGTCTCTCTCTCTCATCATCATCATCACGGTGGCTAGGAGATGTTAACTACCTCGCCTGGTATGCAGGAGGTCGTGAGTTCCATCCCGACCCTGATGCCTGCTGCTGTATATTTGGAGTTTGCGTGTCTCTCTCTCATCATCATCATCACGGTGGCTAGGATATGTTAACTAGCTCGCCTGGTATGCAGGAGGTTGTGAGTACCATCCCCACCCTGACGCCTGCTGCTGTCTATTTGGCGTTTGCGTGTCTCTCTCCCCGTGGTCGCTTGGATTCGGGCTTCAACTGCGTACCTCGTGCCGTGTGTAAACGTCACCACTGGGGAAACAAAGGCGGCCGGGTGTGGTGTTGGCCACCCACCCCCTCGTGTGCCGTGCCGATAGCCTTCATAGGTGCTCCCGAATAGCACTTGCCCCAACAGTCTGTTAAGACTATACGGGGTTCTTTGTTTGTGTGTTTTTGTGCACGTGTCTGCATGCATGTGTACGTGTGCTGCTTGCCCGCGTGTGTGTGTGTGCGTAGCCCCGCGCATAGTGCCGGTCCAGCGCATGGGGGCAGCCTCCCCAGCGACCCAAGCCAGCGCAGGGCCCCGGAGGCTGCCAGCCGGGGGGGCGGCGGCGGCGGCGGCGGCGGCGTCACGCAACGGGTGCGGGGAGGACCCTGCGGTGGCCGAGCTCGGCCAACAGGTAGTCCACACACACAATAACAACGACAACTGCCACTTGCCACTGAGTGGCGGTGATGTCACCACGACGCTTGTGCCAGGCCACACACAGTGGGGGGCGCACACACACATGCACACACACATGCACACACACATGCACACACACATGCACACACACATGCACACACACATGCAGCGGGGGGCGCACACACACATGCACACACACATACACACACACACAGCGGGGGGCGCACACACACGTGCACACACACACGTGCACACACACACATGCACACACACACATGCACACACACAGCGGGGGGCGCACACACACATGCACACACACGTGCACACACACGTGCACACACACATGCACACACACACACATGCACACACACACAGCGGGGGGCGCACACACACATGCACACACACATGCACACACACATGCACACACACACGTGCACACACACATGCACACACACAGCAGGGGGGCGCACACACATGTGCACACGCACGTCCACACACATGCACACACACACACATGCACACACACACAGCGGGGGGCGCACACACACATGCACACACACATGCACACACACACGTGCACACACACATGCACACACACAGCAGGGGGGCGCACACACATGTGCACACGCACGTCCACACACATGCACACACACACACGTGCACACACGTGCACACACACGTGCACACACACGTGCACACACAGCAGGGGGCACACACACACGTGCACACACTCCCAGCGGCACACGCAAACAGACAAAGACAAAGATCCCCCGTGTAGCCTTAACAGACTGTCGGGGCAAGTGCTGTTAGCGAGCACCTATGAAGGCCGGCACGGCACATGAGGGGATGGGTGGCCAGCACCCCACCCGGCCGCCTTTGTCTCCCCAGTGGCGATGTTTACACACCGCACCAGGTACTCATTTCAGGCTGAGTCGATCTAGGGGAGGCCCAAGACCGGTTCAGATAATCGTCACTGGTGCTATGCAGCAAGCGGGAATTGAACCCTGGGTTGTGGAACGGATCATCTGAGTTTCCATTACTTCTTATTGGGAAATTCGCTTTGATATACGAGTGCTTTGGATTACGATCACGTTTCCGGAACGAATCATGCTCGCAGTCCAAGGTTTCACCGTATGTGTGCGCTTGTGCGTAACGTCCCTGCGTGCACGTGTGAACTTGCGTGTGCTTGCCGGTGTCGGGAACGGTGGCACGGTGGTTAGGGCACTGCGATGCGAACACCGGCGGCCTGAGTTCGATTCCCACTCACAACTAGTCGCCAAGGTGAGGAATATCTGAAGCAGCCCTGGGCCTCCCCTAAATCATCTCGGCCTTAAATGAGTACTCGTTTGCAGTGTGTAAACATCACCAGCATCAGGGAGACAGAGCTGGCCGTGCGTGGTGTTGGCCACCCACCCCCTCGTGTGCCATGCCAGCCTTCATAGGTGCTACTCGCTTAACAAGCAGAGGTCGCAACCGGGTACCCGATACCCGTACCCTACCCGATACCCGTACCCTACCCGATACCCGGCTACCCGTACCCGGCCGGGTACGGGTACCCGTTTGCGACCCTGGTGCGGCCGGGTACAGGTAGGCCGTGAGTCACTGGTGAGTCACCGTTTGTCACTCATTTCCCCACGTCTTGTCTCTTCTCACAATTCAAGTTCCTAGAATCAACCCACCCGCGCCTGCAACATGGCTTCATCCCAGAGGTCGTAATCAGGTACCCGATACCCGTACCCTTACCCGGGTACGGGTAGGGTACGGGTACCTGTTTGCGACCCTGGTGCGGCCGGGTACGGGTAAGGAATCAAAACCCGTTTGCGACCTCTGTTAACAAGTCTGTTTGAGGCTATACGGGGGATCTTTGTCTGTGCTTGCAGCTTACAGACTTGAAGTCCACAGTGGAGACGCTGGAGAAGGAGCGGGACTTCTACTTTGGAAAACTGCGCGAGATCGAGGTTCTGTGTCAGAGCACCGATGACAAGATGCCCGTCATCCGAAGCATCTGCGACATCCTCTACGCCACGGAGGTGAGGACTTGACCATGGCCACAGCCACCGCACAACCGTCACTCGTACACAACCACATCCTGATCGCCACGGAGTGTGCGTACTCAAACACCGACGCACAGACACAACCGTGACCCCTACACAACCACATCCTGATCGCCACGGAGAGTGCGCACTCAAACAGCGCTGCACAGCCACAACCGTGACCCCTACACAACCACATCCTGCTTGGCACGGAGAGTGCGCACTCAAACACCGCTGCACAGCCACAACCGTGACCCCTACACAACCACATCCTGCTTGGCACGGAGTGTGCGCACTCAACCACCGCCGCACAGCCACGACCACGACTCGTACACAAGCACATCTTGAACGCCCTTTCAACTGGTACAAAAACTGACACCTTTATACAAGGCATCATGTTTGCAATAACCACAACACAAGCAGTCAAAATGCAAACAAAAAGAAACAACCGCGGGGAGGCAGATGCACAAACTCCAAATGTACACGTGTCAGGGTCGGGATTGAACCCGCGACCTCCTATACACCAGGTGAGGGTGTAAACTTCTGGCACCATTTTCTCACTCCCCTCCACCCCTTCCTCCCTCGCACCCCCCTCCGTGCAGGATGGATTCCAGGTGCCGGAAGACGAGGTGGAGGGAGAGCAAGAGTCGTACTAAACACTGCTGCACATGCCCACGGCGCCAGCCCACGGCGCCAGCCACACCGCAACCACGCGTCGCGACCGAGTGGTGCCACACGCACCGCATGGGAACACGCGGGTCGCCACGCACGCACCACACGCACCACGCCGAGCCAAACCTATCGCACGCCACACGCGCACACGCACCGTACAAACGCGCACGTCACGGCGCGCAAAACCAAACGTGCCGCGCGTCACAGACATGCGCGCGATGCCACATCGCGCGCTCTCTCAGCCTCTTGACCTCAGGCTTTTTATTCGATGACTCTTTCTCTTCCCCCCAATGTCACCTGACCCCCCCCTCCCCACCACCCGTCCGTGTCTTATATCAACACTTTCTTGTCTTCTCGCCCGAGCCGCTCGCTTGCCCCGTCTGCCCACGTGCGCCCCTTGGACTTGCCCCGTCTCGCGCCGGATGTTCACACCTTACCCCCCCGTCTCCCGTTTGGGCAAGTCGCCTGTCGTCCGAGCCTATCCACGAGCTGTGGGCTGCCCCGGTTCACACCCGACCCCCATCTCTCACACCCCTGCCCCCTCTCGCTGTGGTCCGCACCTGGTGGTCGTGTTTTCCCGTCGTACCCCACACCCCCCCCACACACCCCACCGTGCCTACGCACCGTTGCTCCGCGTCTCGTCGATGCGCTGTCGTCTTGTTTTTGTATCCTGGTCTCACGTCTGGAGAAGTTACGGTTGTTGTGGGGGGTGGGTGGGAGGGAGGACGGTGGGGGGGGGGGCCATAGCCATGTCGTTTTATTTGGGGCGGTGTGGCTGTTAGTTGACTGTAACGATGGAATTAAATCTCACTTTGCTTTTGCGTCCATTAGCGAGCTGCAACCGTTGCATGGTGGGGGGTGGGGGGTGGGGGGCGGGGGGCGGTCGTCTTGCGACGATGTCTGCGCTTTTTTTCTTCTTCTTGGTTCTTTCGGTAAAGTCACGTAGAAGGGGAGTAATAAAATAATAAAAATAAAACACAATAAAATCATTCTCACGACGTTTCGGCCACAATGCAAGCAGCCGTCTTCCGGTGAAAACCAGGTCTGTCGAGGCGACAGAGTCCGACTTCTACGTGACTTTACCGAAAGAACCAAGAAGATGAATCCCTGCAGTCACGAAAGCTTTAAATCGAAAGATGCCTGCGCTGTTCACCAACTCGGGTTTTCTCAGAATCGACCCCAAGTGGAGGGGGGATCGTGGAAAGCGCACAAACGACGGCGGATTTCAACCCAGTGGCCCTCCGCTGTCCAACCACCACGCGGCCCCCCTCGGCCCTGCGAGCCCCGTCACGCCCGTCGTGCCGTCGTTGGGTCACCAGCCCGTGTCCAATCGGCGCGCACGCTCGATCCCCACCCGCCTCCCGTCGCCGCGCCCAAGTCGCCCGCAACGCGCCCCGTCTCGTTGGCTCCACGGGCGGCCTCGGCACAATCGTCGCCAGAACCTCCCCCCCCACGCCGCGGCGGGAGCGGCCGCTTGCGCGTCAGCATCGTACCACCCCCCCCCGGGGGGGTTCGCTCTCGTCTCTGCAAGCGGATGCGGGCAGCTGTCTGCTCGCTCGCTCGTCACAAGTGACGCGGCTCTTTCAAGCGGCCGGGGCGATTCTATTTGTTGCTTAAGCGGCCTGACAGCGTTTCGTCGCGCGACGCGTTTTGTTTTTGTGAACTGTGGTCGTTCTAATCGTGACGCGGGGGTGGTGAGCGGGGTTTGGTTTAGGGGTGAAGCTAACCGGGTGAGGGAGTAGCCGGACGCGGCCACGCTCCCCTCGCCGCTCCCCTCGCCGCTCACCCGCTCGCTCGGACGCGGGCAAAGCGTTCGCGGGGGCAGAGCGGGGTGGGCGATGGCGACGCCGACGCCGCGCGGCGATTTTTGAGAGTAGCCGGTCGCGGTGGCGCAGCTGACACACTGCAGGGCGTGGACCCGCAGCGGTGGGCGGGGGGGGGGCGCAGCTCACGTTGAGGGTGACGTGTTCGATCCGGGGGTGGCGGGCAGGGCAAAGGTGCGCAGACGAGTGCCTGCCGTCGCCGCACGCGTCACTCGTGTTGTGACGGAGACGTCGACTGGTCGAGTCATTAGTTTGCTCTCCACGGTGCCACTTATAAAGCAGTGCAGCAAGTAGTTCTCATCCAAATGATAATTTACAATTTTTCAGTTTGCTTCCTGGATAAAGGCCGCCTCCGCTTGCCTTGGCGGCGGGGGGGGGGGTCACTTGGCAATACTTCACCCGCACCTGGTCAGACAATGTTGGCGAAAGGCTAGAGTGCCTCGCGATCTGAGCGCTGCACTACGAACCCGGCGAAGGGCTAGAGTGCCTCGCGATCTGAGCGCTGCACTACGAACCCGGCGAAGGGCTAGAGTGCCTCGCGATCTGAGCGCTGCACTACGAACGCGGCGACCCGGGTGAAATTTCCGCCCACGGCTACCTCTCTGGCCCAGCCCTGGGCCTCCCCTAGGTAGACTCGGCATCAGAACGAGGAGCCGGTGTGCGGTGTGTAAACATCGCCGCTGGAGACGACGTCTGCCGTGCCTGGTGTTTGGCCGCCCCTGCCACCTCCTCGTGCGCCACGGCCTTCATCGGCGCTCGCTAACGGCACTTGCCCCAACAGTCAGTTCAAGGCTGTACGGGGGAATCTTTGTCTTTGTGTTGGAACCTCGCGACCAATTTCCGATGCCGCTCGCCACCGATGTTAGCCGCGCCCGGTAATCTTTGCCGAGGGTCTCTGGGTTCGCCAATCGCCGCGAGACGCCGCTATGCAACTGAACAAAATCAACTCGTCGCCACCGACCGCGGTCTATCCACTGCGGGACCAGGGCCTCGTCCCCAAGGCCGCTGGCAACTGCAGCGTCATCGCCCCAGGACCCGCACGCACGCATTTGGCATTTTTTTCTCACCGCGAAGGCGGCGCTCCGTTTCACAGGCGTAGTCTGTAATTGTCTTGCGAGTGGCGGGCGGGCAGGCGGGGTTGCCATGAAGACGCGGAACACACACAACGGCCTTCGCAAGAACTAATTGTTGAAGTCGGTGGCACGGTCACTCCCCCGCCGCCCCCCCCCCCCCGCCCGTGTGACCGATGAGGCTCGGTTGGTACTGCCCCGTGAACGCGCCGTGACGTCGCGATGGAGACCCTCAACCCTCCTCCGCAGGGTAACTTTGAAGTGATTTACAACAAAACTCAAATGTCCGTCGTGAACGGAAGCTTTCCCCGACGCTTTGTCGGGACAGCGTGGGGTGGGAGAGGTGGGGGGGGGGTGGTGGTGATGTCTGCCTGGGTCGCTACGCGGCCGCCCCCCACACCCCCCCCCCACACCCCCCTCCGCGCTGCTGTGCAAGCGAGCGGCTCGTAGAATCCCCCGGGATGTTGTGAGGCTTTGATTTAAAGATCTCGCGTGACCTTCGGCGGGGTGGCGGGGTGGGTGGGTCGCTGCGGTTAGACGCTCGTGCCGATAGCACGAGCCAAAAAAAGTATCTAAAGAACACCAAGTGAGGTGACGTTTCGGGCAACGGCCCTTCTTCATGGAATGAAAGGAGAGAAGCATTCGCTCGAATCGATGCCTCCCGTTGTAATTTGTTTTCTTTGTTTCGAGTCGCAGCGATATCGGGGAGGAGGAGTGAGCGCTTCGAAAAGTCTTGGTCACGTGTGCCCTGTGCAACCAGCGCTTGCCCCAACGCTGCAGCAGCAGCAGCAGCATCCCAAAGCGACGAGTTGAGTGGTTGAGATCGGTGCTTCCAGTACGCCCATTGCCACCAGGCTGGTGATGGTGATGATGACGGTGGCGATGAAGGCCACCCTCCAATAAGTATAACCCGTAAAAACAAAGTTTTTCACAAAAAATCCTTTATATGCGTGGCATCGGGGCGGCTCAAGTCCTCTCGTCCTCTGGCTTGAGATGGCTGCCACCTATGGGTCAGATGATTGTGTGCCAGCATTAACCAATTGGTAAGTAAATATAAAACAAATTCCCTAAACTGTAAAATTTTGGAGAAAAAAATTTCACGAAAATAAATTGTCACGCACAACGAGTCTGTGTGCAAAATGTCAGCTCGATTGGATCACGGGAAGTGGGTTAAAAAACGACCGAAAGATTTGCACGGTCCTAAGCAAGCAAGCAAGTGAACTTAATATAAAGGATTTAAAAAGTATAACCCGTAAAAACAAAGTTTTTCACTCAATCCTTTATATGCGTGGCGGCTAGAGTCATCTCGTCCTCTGGCTTGAGATGGCTGCCACCTATGGGTCAGATGATTATCTGCCAGTATTAAGCAATTGGTAATTAAATATTTAATTTGTTTTCCCGAAAAAGTGTAAAATTTTGGAAAACATTTTTCACGAACAATAATTGTCTCGCACAACGAGTCTGTGTGCAAAATGTCAGCTCGATTGGATCACGGGAAGTGGGTTAAAAAACGACCGAAAGATTTGCACGGTCGCAAGCAAGCACGCAAGCACGCAAGCAAGCAAGCGAACTTAATATAAAGGATTTAAAAATGGGTCAAGAAGCACATGTGGTTCCCCCTCCTGTCAGAAATAAAGCACGTGGGTTTTTCGTTTGTCTTGTACGTACAGATGCTCACTCTGCCTCTTTATTTGGGAGGGGGTTGGGGGTGGGGACGGTGACTTGTCCCAGCCAGCGATACGCATCGAGCGGTTGCCACCGATTGCAGAGGTCTGCGGTTCAAATCCTCCCGCCCCCTGGATCAGCCTCCGGGCGTCACGTTGGTTAGGGGATGTCAGCTGTCTCGCCTGGTCTACAGGTGGGTCCTGGGTTCGATCTTGTCCTCGGCAAGGTAAGGTAATTTACCCTTTTTACCGGGTAAAAGGGTAAAGGTGTGGACATGCCAAGGGGTAAGGTCAAGGTGTAGGGTAAAGGTAGCTCGGAAGAATTACCCGGGAGGGTCAAGGTAGCGCGAAGAATTACCCGGTAAATACGGTACCTTGTTTACCGCTAAAAGCTCCGTGGCGCAGTCCGTGGCCTCCATTTAATAAGTAACATTTAAAAAAACGATTTAAAAAAACACGCTTTTATTAAATGTCCTAGTAATGGCAGAACTCCACGACTCCAGGAAGTGGCCCCAAAGTTTGCCATCACGTAAGGGGCCGTGGCCAGTTGCAGCCAACGTCAGTTGAGCGTAGACAATTAGACCCAAGCGGAAACATCACGTTAAAAAGAATTTAAAGAAAAATATGATAGAATATATTATTGTCATCGGTATGACACGTAAGTATACCAAGTTTGCAGTCGATACCACATTGGGAAGTGGGTTAAAATTGAGTTACAAGATTTGAGGATACAACAACAGACGGAGTGAGTTCAAAGAAAGCGTGTAAAATTGGAATCTAGAGTATTCTATAAGTATAAAGAGCTCTACCTAGCATTTACCGTTGTAAACCTTTTCACGTGTAGTAGTACCCCAGTAATTACCCTGTAATCGGATAATTTGTATGAGGTAGGGTAAAGGTAGGCTCGTTGCTTTTTAACCTTACCTGCTAAAGCAGCGGTCGGGAACCTATGGCTCGCGAGCCATATATGGCTCTTCCGGTGACGGCATATGGCTCTCAGACAATTTTGAGTTAAAAAATAATAAAAAAATAAAATCAGTTTGGAACAGATTTTTAAATACTTGTGATATTGCTTAATAATACTGTGTCATTTTAAAGTAAACAGAAATTTGTTTTGAAGATAACATTTCTCGGGTCACGGGTCCCGTGACCAGAAAAATTCTATATGGCTCTCAATGAAATATATTTAGAAATATTTGGATTTTATGGCTCTCCCAGTCAAAAAGGTTACCGACCCCTGTGCTAAAGGGTTAAAGGTCGGGTAGAGTGATTGTATTGTAAGATAAAGGTAGGCTTGTTTTTTGTACATTTAAACTTTTACCTTGCCGAGGCCTAGTTCGATGCCAAACCTGCATGATGATGCCTGTGCAAGTGGAGTCTGCATGTCTGACCCCCCCCATGGTATTAGTCAGAGGTGTGGACTCGAGTCATGTGACTTGGACTCGAGTCATGAATTTGATGACTTCAGACTCGACTTGGACTTGCATAACAATGACTTTGTCCCACCTCTGAGGTGTGGACTCGAGTCATGTGACTTGGACTCGAGTCAGACTCGAGTCATGAATTTGATGACTTCAGACTCGACTTGGACTTGCATAACAATGACTTTGTCCCACCTCTGAGGTGTGGACTCGAGTCATGTGACTTGGACTCGAGTCAGACTCGAGTCATGAATTTGATGACTTCAGACTCGACTTGGACTTGCATAACAATGACTTTGTCCCACCTCTGGTATTAGTTCTCGTGCGGTATTTCTCCCCCTCCACATTTAGAGACATCCGTTTGGAGTGCAGTGTTTGGTTGCTGTACATTTGCACGTGATGAGCCACTTGAGCTGTCGTTTGTGGCCAGGTCGCTTCCGAAAAAGCCACGTTGCTCAGTGGACCCTTACCTGTTGAGATAAAAAACAACTAAAATATTTGTAACACCATTGGAACCTCATTTGCCAGTAGCAAAATATGATAATTCGTTTTTTACCCTTCTATCTGGCAACAAAACTGACACCTTTTTTACAAGGAGTCATGTTTGCATAGACCACAATACCTGCAGTCATAATGCAAACAAAAAAACATAACTCTGATAATGTATGCACTGTCCTTGAAGTTGATTGGTCCACACCTGAGACAGCTTTCCTTAGAGCCTAGTCTCACCTGGTGTTGGACCAGATGACGCCAAAAGGCGCACAACTCAAAGACAATGCACCATCAGAGTATGAGAGCTCGGGGTAAGCATTTACACCATTGGAACTTCCTTTGCCAGTAGCAAAATATGATAATTGTTTTTTTTTACCCTTCTATCTGGCAACAAAACTGACAACTTTTTTTACAAGGAGTCGTGTTTGCATAGACCACAATATCTGCAGTCATAATGCAAACAAACACAACTCTGATAATGTATGCACTGTCCTTGAAGTTGATTGGTCCCCACCCGAGACAGCTTTCCTTAGAGCCTAGTCTCACATGGTGTTGGACCAGATGACGCCAAAAGGCGCACAACTCAAAGACAATGCACCATCAGAGTATGAGAGCTCGGGGTGAAGCATTTACACCATTGGAACCTCCTTTGCCAATAAAAATATGAAAATTGGTTTTTTTACCCTTCTATCTGGCAACAAAACTGACACCTTTTTTTACAAGGAGTCATGTTTGCATTCACCACAATACCTGCAGTCATAATGCAAAAAAAAAACAACTCTGATAATGTATGCACTGTCCTTGAAGTTGATTGGTCCACACCCGAGACAGCTTTCCTTAAATATTTGTAGTTTAACACTGCGGTGGACGTATTGACCATAAATGCTTGCCGACCCGTCCCTGCTGGACATCCGTGGTGATGGAACTTCGTGGCACAGGGGATAGATTGTGCTCCGATCCTGACATAACGTTGTGGTCCACATTTGTCCAATTTGACGATCAGCCTCCACGTCAGAGGTCGCAACCGGGTACCCGATACCCGTACCCTACCCGATACCCGGCTACCCGTACCCGGCCGGGTACGGGTAGCCGTTTGCGACCCTCGTGTGGCCGGGTACGGGTACGGGTAGGCCGTGAGTCACTGGTGAGTCACCGTTTCTCACTCATTTCCCAACGTCTTGTCTCTTCTCACAATTCAAGTTCCTATAATCAACCCACCCGCGCCTACAACATGGCTTCATCCCAGAGGTCGCAATCACGTACCCTACCCGATACCCGGCCGGGTAGCCGGGTATCAGGTAGGGTACGGGTAACGGGTACCCGTTTGCGACCCTGGTGCGGCCGGGTACGGGTAGGCCGTGAGTCACTGGTGAGTCACCGTTTGTCACTCATTTCCCAACGTCTTGTCTCTTCTCACAATTCAAGTTCCTAGAATCAGCCCACGCGCGCCTGCAACATGGCTTCATCCCAGAGGTCGCAATCGGGTACCCTACCCGATACCCGGGTATCGGGTAGGGGTACGGGTAGGGTAGGGGTACGGGTACCCAATTGCGACCCTGGTGCGGCCGGGTACGGGTACGGGTAAGGGATCAAAACCCGTTTGCGAGCCCTGCTTCACGTGGATAAACATCCACTGCGCCCACGGGGGCGGAACGGCGGCGTTGACTTGCGCGGTGCCATCCGGTGGGACAAGTCGCCAATCGGAGATCTCCTCGGCACAAATAAACTCCTAAAAAAAACAGGTTTTATTAACAACTTGGTTTAAATTTCGATTTGAAGCTTTCGTGACTGCAGCAGGGATTCATCTTCTTGGTTCTTTCGGTAAAGTCACGTAGAAGGGAAATAATACAATAATAAAAATTAAACAATGCAATAAAATAATGTATTGTGTTTTTTTTTAAAGAACCATCGCGTCTGCCCGGCGCGAGAGGGGCGAGTGGTGGGACGCGTTTCGAGACTCTGGGGGGTCATAAACTGCGGTGAAAGTCTACAGCGGGTGGCTGAGAGGGGGGGGGGGGGGCTTCACCAGGCTCATGGAGAGGGGTAGGGCTGTGGGGGATGTGGGGGGGGGGCTGTGGTGGGGAGGGGGGGGCACGTGGTAGGAGGGTGCGGGCGGAATGAATGGGGAACCTCCCCCGGGGCGAAGTCCCCTTCTCTTACCTGTGTGAGCCACTTAAACCCCCGAGGGCGTTTGGGTTCCACTCGGGGGGCTCCCGTGTCTCTCGTCCGACATTGAGCAGCGGGCAGCTTGCGGGGTGGAAGAAGACGTCGAGTGAGGAGGAGGTGGAGGAGGAGGTGGTGGTGGAGGTGGTGGAGGAGGTGGTGTAGGAGGTGGTGGTGGAGGTGGTGGAGGAGGAGATGGTGGTGGTGGAGAAGGTGGTGGAGGAGGTGGTGGTGGTGGTGGTGGTGTAGGAGGTGGTGTAGGAGGTGGTGGTGGAGGAGGTGGTGGAGGAGGTGGAGGTGGAGGAGGTGGTGGTGGTGGAGGTGGTGGAGGAGGAGGTGGTGGTGGAGGTGGTGTAGGAGGTGGTGTAGGAGGTGGTGGTGGAGGTGGTGGAGGAGGAGGTGGTGGTGGAGGTGGTGTAGGAGGTGGTGGTGGTGGAGGAGGTGGTGGAGGTGGTGGAGGAGGTGGTGGAGGAGGTGGTGGTGGAGGAGGTGGTGTAGGAGGTGGTGGAGGAGGAGGTGGTGGAGGAGGAGGTGGTGGTGGAGGTGGTGGAGGTGGTGGAGGAGGAGGTGGTGGTGGAGGTGGTGTAGGAGGTGGTGTAGGAGGTGGTGGTGGAGGTGGTGGAGGTGGTGTAGGAGGTGGTGGAGGTGGTGTAGGAGGTGGTGGAGGTGGTGGAGGAGGTGGTGGAGGTGGTGGAGGAGGTGGTGGTGGTGGAGAGGAGTCGAGGTGAGGGGAGAAGCCAGCTACGATGGAGGAAGACCAGAGAGTTGAGGAGAGGCGACTCTGTGAAGATGTGTTGAGGAGTTGGTGGTAAGGGAGGGATGGTGAGTGATGGGGTGGGGTGGTGAGGGAGGGGTGGTGAGTGACGGGGTGGGTGGTGAGGGGTGGGTGGTGAGTGACGGGGTGGTGAGGGGTGGTGTGGTGAGTGACGGGGTGGGTGGTGGGTGGTGAGGGGTGGGTGGTGAGGGGTGGGGTGGGTGGTGAGGGGTGGGGTGGTGAGTGACAGGGTGGTGAGGGGTGGGTGGTGAGGGGTGGGTGGTGAGTGACGGGGTGGTGAGGGGTGGTGAGTGACAGGGTAGTGACAGGGTGGTGAGTGACGGGGTGGTGAGTGACAGGGTGGTGAGTGACAGGGTGGGTGGTGTGGTGAGGGGTGGTGAGTGACAGGGTGGTGAGTGACAGGGTGGGTGGTGTGGTGAGGGGTGGTGAGGGGTGGTGAGTGACAGAGTGGTGAGTGACAGGGTGGTGAGTGACAGGGTGGGTGGTGAGTGACAGGGTGGTGAGTGACAGGGTGGGTGGTGTGGTGAGGGGTGAGTGACGGGGTGGTGAGGGTTGGGGTGGTGAGTGACAGGGTGGTGAGTGACAGGGTGGGTGGTGTGGTGAGGGGTGAGTGACGGGGTGGTGAGGGTTGGGGTGGTGAGTGACAGGGTGGTGAGTGACAGGGTGGGTGGTGTGGTGAGGGGTGGTGAGTGACAGGGTGGTGAGTGACGGGGTGGTGAGGGGTGGTGTGGGATGGTGTCGTATTTCGAGGGGGAGTTCCCCCGCGGAGCCCCCCACGGACGCGCTCTCTACTTCGCCTTCTTCTCCGAGTTCGGGACGGAGGGACGCGGAGTGGGTCTCGCCCTGGAGGCCGCGGTGATGGGGTGAGGAGGGCGCTGAGATGCCATCACTCACATCACCGTCATCACCATCATCATCACTAACATCATCATCACCATCACTCACATTATCACCATCACTCACATCACCATCATCATCACTAACATCATCATCATCACCATCACTCACATTATCACCATCACTCACATCACCATCATCATCACTAACATCATCATCACCATCACTCACATTATCAGCATTACTCACATCATCACCATCACCCACATCACCATCATCACCATCATCACTCACATCATCACCATCACTCACATCATCACCATCATCACCATCACTCACATCATCACCATCACTCACAGCATCACCATCATCACTCACACCATCACCATCACTTACATCACCATCATCACCCACATCATCACCATCAATCGCATCGCAGTGAACGACATCAAAACCTACCACGTCGCTCACGTGACATCACCCTCGTGTTCACCACCCGTCTGATTGTTCACCTCCCCCCCCCCCCACCTCCCCACCTCCCCCCTCCCCACCACCCCCTCCCCACCTCCCCACCTCCCCACCCTCCCCACCACCCCCTCCCCACCACCCCGCTCACCACCACCCCCTCCCTCCCCACCTCCCCACCACCCCCTCCCTCCCCACCTCCACCCTCCCCCTCCCTACCACCCCCCTCCACCCTCCCCCCTCCCCACCACCCCCCTCCCCCCCCCGCAGGGTGGTGGTGCTAGTGGGCGTAGCCGGCAACGCGGTCTCGCTGGCGAGCGCGCTCCGCCCGGAGGCGTCACGTCGCGGCCCCGTGGGGCCTCTCCTCGCCAGCCTGGCCGCCGCCAGCCTCGCCCTGCTGGGCCCCGCCTGCGTCGGGGTCGCGGCCCGGTGGACCGGGTCGTGGCGACTCGGGGAGGCCGCCTGCAGGTAGACACCCGATACCCGTACCCTACTCGATACCCCTACCCGATACCCGTACCCTACCCGATACCCGGCTACCCTACCCGTACCCTACCCGTACCCTACCCGATACCCGTACCCTACCCGTACCCTACCCGATACCCGTACCCTACCCGTACCCTACCCGTACCCTACCCGATACCCCTACCCGATACCCCTACCCGATACCCGTACCCTACCTGATACCCGTACCCGATACCTGTACCCTACCCGATACCCGTACCCTACCCGTACCCTACCCGTACCCTACCCGATACCTGTACCCGATACCCGTACCCTACCCGATACCCGGCTACCTGTACCCGGCCAGGTACGGGTAGCTGGGTAGCCGTTTGCGACCCTGGTGCGGCCGGGTACGGGTACGGGTAAGGAATCAAAACCCCTTTGTGACTTCTGCCACCGGCTCGGACTTGGAGGAGGGGTTACCCGGGTAACCGCGGTGGATGGTGGCTATGAGATGTTAACTACCTCGCCTGGTATACAGGAGATCGTGGGTTCAATCCTGACCCTGACGCCTGCTGCTGTAGATTTGGAGTTTGCGTGTCTCTCTCTCTCTCATCATCACGGTGGCTAGGAGATGTTAACTACCTCGCCTGGTATACAGAAGGTCGTGGGTTCGATCCTGACCCTGACGCCTGCTGCTGTAGATTTGGAGTTTGCGTGTCTCTCTCTCTCTCATCATCAAGGTGGCTATGAGATGTTAACTACCTCGCTTGGTGTGCAGGAGGTCGTGGGTTCAATCCCGACCCCGACGCCTGCTGCTGTATATTTGGAGTTTGCGTGTCTCTCTCATCATCACGGTGGCTAGGAGATGTTAACTACCTTGCCTGGTCTACAGGAGGTCGTGGGTTCAATCCCGACCCCGACGCCTGCTGCTGTATATTTGGAGTTTGCGTGTCTCTCTCATCATCACGGTGGCTAGGAGATGTTAACTACCTCGCCTGGTATACAGGAGATCGTGGGTTCAATCCTGACCCTGACGCCTGCTGCTGTAGATTAGGAGTTTGCGTGTCTCTCTCTCTCCCCGTGATCGCGTGGATTTTTCTCCGGGTCCTCCGTTCCCCCCCCCCCCCCCCGCTCCACATTTACAATCAGCGTCACGCGTTCAGAGTATTTGGCCGCTGCTGACGATGATGACGAAGCCGTCACTTGGTCGAGCTGTCACTTGCGGTGGCCAGGGCCTCACCTGGTAAAGTAAAACATCAAGTTCGAATAGTCCGTGCGTACGCCTGCCTCCAGGTGTACGCTCGGGTCAACGAGCGGAGTGATGGCATTGAAGTACACGAGCAAGTTGCACGTGGTCGGAGTACACGTGGTGGAGTACACGTGGTTGAGTACACGCGGTTGAGTACACGTGGGTGGAGTACGCGTGGGTGGAGTACGCGTGGGTGGAGTACACCTTGAGTCAGTCCATGAGCACACACGTTTTAGTCCACGCCATTGATCTGAGCACGTGGTAGGGGACAAGTGTGTGAGTGTGTTTGGGGTAGGGGAGTGATTCCCGCTCACGGCCAACACCGGTGACGATTATCATCTGAACCGGTCCTGGGCCTCTCCTAGGGCGACTCAGCCTTAAATGAGTACCTGGTGCGGTGTATAAACATCGCCACTGGGGAGACAAAGGCGGCCGGGCGTGGTTGCTGGCCACCCACCCCCTCGTGTGTCGTGACGGCATTCATAGGTGCTCGCTAACAGCACTTGCCCCTACAGTCTGTTGAGGCTACGTGGGGGATCTTTGTCTTCTGTGCAAGCGCGTACCAACAACAACAACCGCCATTCGCCACTAAGTGGCGGTGACGTCACCACGACGCCTGTGCCAGGCCATGTGCACCTTGAGGCCACGTGAAGTGTCGAACGCCCGCTGGCAGGAGGTCACGGGGCAGACCCAGCAGGTGCCACGGGTCGACTGACCGAGATGACCAAGATGACTGGCTGATGCACCACCTGTGCCCCCTACTGTGCCAACTTGCTGTGCTTTATCCACCCGGCGCTCCACTCGTTGTTGTGAGCGTCGCTCCTCCGCCCTCCGTTGTTGTTGGAGGGCGACTGCCTCCAACTGCCCAGTAGCGTCCTTCACGAGCCTCCTCCACTGAGGCCGATCTTGACACCGCTGGTACCAGTCATCGCGCACAGACACACGCACATACACGTGGTGTGAGTCGCACCCCCTCACCCTCACCCCCTAAACCCACCCCCCCACCCCCACCCACCCCTACCCCCCCACCCCCACCCCACCTCCCCACCCCCCCCACCCCCCACCCTCCACCCTCACCCCCACCCCCCTCACCCCCCACCCTCCACCCTCACCCCCCCACCCCCTACCCCCACCCACCACCTCACCCCCCACACCCTCACCCCCCCACCCCCACCCCCCCACACCCAACCTCCCCCCCCACCCCTACCCCCCACCCCACTCCCCACACCCACCCCCCACCCCTACCCCACCCCCCACCCCCACCCCCCACCACACCCCCTTACCCCTACACCCCCTCACCCCCACACAACCCCACCCCACACCTCCACCCCCCCCCTCACCCCCCACCCTCCACCCTCACCCCCCATCCCCCACCCCCCTCCACCCCCCACCCCCAGGTCTGTGTTCGCCCTGCTGGTGGCTGGAGGTGCCGCCACGCTGCTCACCACCGCCGCCATCAGCGCCGCGCGTCTCCGCGCGCTCAGCCGGGGACCCTCCCGGGGGGGCCCCTCCCGGGGGGGGCCCTGTTTTGGGGGGCCCTGTCGGGGGGGGTCCCGGGGGGAGTTTGGCGCCGCGGGGGTCACGGCCGGGGTCATCTGGGCCCTGGCGACACTGGCGGCCATCCCCGCCGCCCTGGGGTTCACAGCGAGGGGGTTCGCGTACGGGACCCAGGTGCGACCCAGGGCTGGGGGCGGTGTGGTGGTGGTGTGGTGGTGGTGGTGTGTGGTGGTGTGGTGGTGGTGGTGGTGAGGTGGTGGTGGTGTGGTGGTGGTGTGGTGGTGGTGTGATGGTGTGGTGGTGGTGTGGTGGTGTGTGCGTGGTGCTACAGGAGGTGGTGGTGGTGGTGGTGTGAGTGGTGGTTTGGTGGTCATGTGGAGGTGCTACAGGAGGTGGTGGTGGTGGTTTGGTCATGTGGTGGTGCTACAGAAGGTGGTGGTGGTGTGAGTGGTGGTTTGGTGGTCATGTGGAGGTGCTACAGGAGGTGGTGGTGGTGGTTTGGTCATGTGGTGGTGCTACAGAAGGTGGTGGTGGTGTGAGTGGTGCTTTGGTGGTCATGTGGAGGTGCTACAGGAGGTGGTGGTGGTGGTTTGGTCATGTGGTGGTGCTACAGAAGGTGGTGGTGGTGTGAGTGGTGCTTTGGTGGTCATGTGGAGGTGCTACAGGAGGTGGTGGTGGTGGTTTGGTCATGTGGTGGTGCTACAGAAGGTGGTGGTGGTATGAGTGGTGGTTTGGTGGGGTAAGGTGAAGGACGACCCTGCGTGGGCTGCAGTGCCTCGAATATTGGCAGAAGTAGCCACCCTTCTGAATGGGCGGCTGAGGTGCCATCTGTGGAGGAAATGCGAGGGGTGATCTGAAGTCTGAGAGCAGGAAAGGCACCGGGCAGAGGCAATCTCCAAAGCGCAATGCTGAGGCAGGGTGGGTGGCGTCTGTGTGCAGACTGACCTACATGACATCATCACAACTGTGTCTGGACCACTGGACGGGTTCTGCAGGATTGGAAGGATGCCCTGGTCGCCCATCCTCTAAGAGGGGGGACCGCACAGATTGTAAACACTATAGAGGACATCTCTCTTATCGGTGTGCCGGGAAAGGTCCCGGCAAGGATTTCACTGGTCAACAAAACAAAAACATTTTTTTCTGGCCTGGACTTTTGCAGCTGTTCTAGACTAATTTCAAGGTGCCGATTCCAAATCTAATCTCAGATTTGCTCTATCATATCGCATTTGTATGCTATCGGCATACCCCATTTTCATTGATTTTACCCGAAATTAACTCTGTCACTTATGATTGCAAGTTGTTGCCAGTCAGTGACTGCTTTAGTGTTAAAACTATGGCGCTGTATTTTTAGGATAGTGTGTTTATAATATCATTTTATGTAGATATCCACATTTATTTAATATTTTTCTTCTGCAGTTTTTATTGAAAATGCAATATTTGATATCTCAAAAACCTGATGTGATAGACAAAAACTTGATGCCAGATCTGGAATCAGCACCCCCCCAAAATTACATTAACACCGTTGGAATACCTCATGCCAGAAAAACTGTGTTGACCAGTGTTATTCAACATCACCTTGCCAGGGCACGCTGAGGAGAGGCTTGCGGAGCCCCAATGTTTCAGACTAAGGGCGGTCCTGCACGGATGCCACATTCTCTGTCCGTTTGCTACATCAGAAGTGTACGGAATTCCAACAAAGACCTACATCTGTGCTTTATTCACCTGGTCAATGCCTATGACACCATAAACAGGCCATGGATGTGGGAAATTCTTCGTGCTTTCGGAGTCCCTGACTCTTTGCTCACAATCTTTAAGGGCTTTCATGATGGTGAGCGGGCCCGGGTAAAGCTACGTGGCCAGGAGTCGGATACATTCCCTGTTCACCTTGGGGTGCGACAGGGATGTCCTCTGGCTCCCACATTATTTAGCAAATTTTACCACGTAGTTCGAGAAGCTTTCCATGGCTGTAGCAGGACGGATTTCCATCGGGTACAGATATAATGGGAGGCTGATCGATGCCCGGGTGCGGTCGAGGGATGGTTTCCTATTGGTCAACCACGTTATGTATGCCGATGATCTGGTAATTGCTGCTCACTCAGAGGAGGAGTTGGAGACGCTTCTGCTGAACCTGGAATGTGCCACTAAGAGGTGGGGCCGTTACCATCAGCCCCACCAAAACTAAGCACCTGCCTGGGTATTTTGTGCCACCAAACCCTCCACCCCCATCAGCTCCCCATTGGTGATGGGGCAGTTGTGGAGAGAGTGGAGAGTTTCCCATACCTGGGCAGTGTGCTTATGACCAGCTCCGGTTTGGCAGCAGAGGTCTCACTCCGAATCAGTCGAGCGGCATTATCTTTTCATCAGCTGCATAATGCTGTGTGGAAGCTACCTGGTCTGTCGCTCCACACGAAGCTTCGGGTCTTCTTAGCCACAGTCATGCCCTCCCTTCTCTACGCTTGTGAAACGTGGACCCCTCTAATGGAATATCTGCGCCGGTTAGAAACATTCAGGCTGGCCTGCCTACGATCCATCCTGGGTTTAACCAGGCTGGATTGTGTGAGGAGCTCACAAATGCTTGAAATATTTTTACACATTGCCATCAGTGAGCTCTGGCAGGCAAAGGCTGCATTGGCTGGGCCATGTAGCCCGCATGCCCAGCCACCGTATGCCCATTCAGCTTCTGTTTGGCCTTATAGAGGGGGCTAAATGGGCACAGCACGGGCTGGAGAAGAGATGGAGTGACGCGGTACAGGAGGATGTGGAGCTGAGTGGACATGCCGATGACTGGTACCAGCGGTGTCAAGATCGGCCTCTGTGGAGGAGGCTTGTGAAGGACACTACTGGGCAGTAGGAGGCAGTCGCCTTCTCGCAAGAATGGAGGGTGGAGGAGCGACGCTCACAACAAAGAGCGGAGCGCCGGGTGGCTAAAGCACAGCAAGTTGGCAGAGTAGGAGGTACAGCTGGTGCATCTACCAGTTATTTCAGTCAGCCGACACATGGCACCTAGGTCTGTCCCGTGACCTCCTGGTAGCGAACCTTCGACACGCCACGTGGCCTCAAAGTGCACCTGGCCTGGCACAAGTGCCATGGTGATGTCACCGTCACTTAGTGGCGAATAGCGGCTGTTGGTATTGGTGGTGGTGTGAGTGATGGTGTGGTGGTGTGAGTGATGGTGGTGTGGTGTGTGTGGTGTGAGTGATGGTGTGTGTGATGGTGTGGTGTGTGTGGTGGTGTGTGTGATGGTGTGGTGGTGCGAGTGGTGGTGTGAGTGGTGTGAGTGATGGTGTGAGTGATGGTGTGAGTGGTGGTGTGAGTGATGGTGTGTGTGGGGTGGTGGTGTGTGATGATGTGAGTGATGGTGTGGTGGTGGTGTGCGGTGTTGCAGGAGGTGGTGGTGTGCACCCTGGTGTGGTGTGAGTGATGGTGTGAGTGGTGTGAGTGATGGTGTGAGTGATGGTGTGCTGGTGGTGTGTGGTGTTGCAGGAGGTGGTGGTGTGCACCCTGGTGTGGTGTGAGTGATGGTGTGAGTGATGGTGTGCGTGATGGTGTTGCAGGAGGTGGTGGTGTGCACCCTGGTGTGGCCGGGTCGTGGCGGCTCACTGAGCTGGGTCTCCTCCATGTTCGTGTTGCTGCTCTTGCTACCAGCGATGGTCATGGCAGTCAGCCACGGCCGCATCATACAGGTGATGCCATCAACATCTCATCATCATCATCATCGCCATCAACATCCACACCAACATCATCGCCATCTACACCATCAACATCTACACCATGTACACCATCAACAACATCAACAACATCTACACCAACATCATCGCCATCTACACCATCAACATCTACACCATGTACACCATCAACAACATCTACAGCAACATCATCGCCATCTACACCATCAACATCTACACCATGTACACCATCAACAACATCAACAACATCCACACCAACATCATCGCCATCTACACCATCAACATCTACACCATCAACACCATCAACAACATCTACAGCAACATCATCGCCATCTACACCATCAACATCTACACCATGTACACCATCAACAACATCTACACCAACATCATCGCCATCTACAGCATCAACATCTACACCATCAACAACATCGATGCTAACATCATCAACATCTACATCATCATCATCTACACCATCAACAACATCTACACCATCAACAACATCAACAACATCTACACCAACATCATCGCCATCTACACCATCAACATCTACACCATCAACACCATCAACAACATCTACAGCAACATCATCGCCATCTACACCATCAACATCTACACCATGTACACCATCAACAACATCTACACCAACATCATCGCCATCTACAGCATCAACATCTACACCATCAACAACATCGATGCTAACATCATCAACATCTACATCATCATCATCTACACCATCAACAACATCTACACCATCAACAACATCAACAACATCTACACCAACATCATCGCCATCTACACCATCAACATCTACACCATCAACAACATCGATGCCAACATCATCAACATCTACATCATCAACATCATCATCATCTACACCATCAACAACATCAACATCTAAACCAACATCATTACCATCTACACCATCAACTACATCTACACCAACATCATCGTCATCTACAACATCACATTCTACACCAACATTATCAACATCTACACCATCATCAACATCTACACCATCAACATATACACCAACATCATCGTCATCTACAACATCACATTCTACACCAACATCATCAACATCTACACCATCATCAACATCTACACCATCAACATATACACCAACATCATCGTCATCTACAACATCACATTCTACACCCACATTATCAACATCTACACCATCATCAACATCTACACCATCAACATATACACCAACATCATCGGCATCTACAACAACGACATCTCCATCATCATCACCATCAACAACGCCATCTACACCAACATCATCATCGCCACCAACAAACATCAACATCGAGACCACCACCACCAACATCATCGACGTCGACACCATCATCACCAACACCAATATTATAATGATCAACTATACACTAACAAAAAGACTGACAGAGATAGGATATTGGCACTCGAAAATACATCGCTACAGAAGGATACTGCATCTAAGCTGGACTCAAATAAGAGTGACCAACGTAGAAGAAAGACGTCACGACAAAGACGAAGAAGAAGCCGTCCTGATGACGATGCAGGCTACGATGAGAAGGAAACTGGCACTGCTTGGACACGTGTATAGGGGTGGACAACAACAGCAACAATGTATTTGTTGTTTCGATTTAAAGCTTTCGTGACTGCAGGGATTCATCTTCTTGGTTCTTTCGGTAAAGTCACGTAGAAGGGAAATCATAAAAATAAAACATAATAAAATAATTCTCACGACGTTTCGGCTACAACACTAGCAGCCGTCCTCAGGTGAGGAAAAAAAAGTCGTGAGAATGATTTTATAATGTTTTATTTTTATCATTTTATTATTTCCCTTCTACGTGACTTTACCGAAAGAACCAAGAAGATGTATTTGTTGTTGTTGGTGTTCGGAAAAGTGGAAGGAACAGGAACGGGAGGAAGACCGAACAGAGAATGGCCCGACAACGACGACATCATCATCATCGTCAGAGATTGGTGCCAGAAAGATTGTGGTGCACTAATTGAGATTCCGATTCGCGTTTTTACCCCTTTGTGGCAATCAAACGGGAGGTGTTCAGATGTCCAAACACCAAACAAAGGAGACAGCGGCCTTCTTTATGGCCTAGTAGTCCAGAAGGCTGCTGTCTCTGGTGTAGGGCCAATCAGTCTCAAAGACAATGCCGTCTAAATTTCGATTTAAAGCTTCTTTCGTGACTGCAGGGATTCATCTTCTTGGTTCTTTCGGTAAAGTCACGTAGAATGGAAATAATACAAATAATACAAATAAAACTTAATAAAATAATTCTCACGACGTTTCGGCCACAACGCAAGCAGCCGTCCTCAGGTGAAGAACAGGACGTGTCATTCAGACGCTGTCCTCTCGACAGACCTGGTCTTCATCTGAGGGACGGCTGCTTGCATTGTGGCCGAAACGTCGTGAGAATTATTGTATTATGTTTTATTTTTATTATTTTATTATTTCCATTCTACGTGACTTTAGCGAAAGAACCAAGAAGACAATGCCAGAGCATGCTTTGTTTGCTGTGTTTGGTTAGCGCAGTATTTGATTCATCGCAAAAGTTTCTATTTGCTGTTTGAACATCTTGACACAACTCTTGTTATTACACGCTTTTATTTAACTCACTCTGTTGTTGTTTTCGTATCCTCAAATCTTGTAACTCAATTTGAACCCACTTCCCAATGTGGTATCGACTGCAAACTTGGTATACTTATGTCATACTGATGACAATACTATATTCTATCATTAAAAACAATTTTACAAATATTTTTAAACATTCTTTTTTATATGTTATGTTTCAGCTTGGGTCGAATTGTCAACGCTCAACTGACGTTGGCTGTAAAGCACCACGGCCCCTTACGTTGTGGCAAGCTTCGGGCCCACTTTCTAGAGTTCTGCCATTACGAGTAGGGTACATTTCATTAAAGCGTGTTTTGCAAAAAAGTATCTTAATATATTGCTTATTTTATTGCCAAAAAGGGTAAATACCTATTCTTATTTTTCATACTTTGATGCTGGCATCAAAAGGTCCCATGGTACTTGATCCATGTTTGCACTTCAAGACAGAGAGGAAAGTGGAAACAGCAAATGACGAAATGTGCAGTGGACACACCTACGACAGGGCCTTCTGGCCCACGGATCACAATGACGATGATACCATCATGAACAATCACAATGCGGTTTAACATGCGGTAGGCTTTCGCGACCAATATCATCCACAATAGGTGTTTTTGGGTTAGATCGCATACATATACTTTAAAAAACGCCAACACTCAGATTGTAAATGTTGTGGCTTGGCTCTCCAACACACCGGTGTGCTGTACTAGTACACTACACTACACACTAGTGCTGTACTAGTATACTACACTATACACTACACTTATGCACTGCACTACACTCTACACTACACTATAAACTAGTGCTGTACTAGTATACTACACTATACACTACACTTATACACTGTACTACACTATACACTACACACTAGTGCTGTACTAGTATACTACACTATACACTACACTTATGCACTGCACTACACTCTACACTACACTATACACTATAAACTAGTGCTGTACTGGTATACTACACCATACACTACACTATACACTACACGTATACACTGTACTACACTATACACTACACACTTGTGTTGTACTAGTATACTACACTATACACTACACTATACACTACACTTATGCACTGCACTACACTCTACACTACACTATAAACTAGTGCTCTACTAGTATACTACACTATACACTACACTCTACACTACATACTAGTGCTGTACTAGTACACTACACTACACACTAGTGCTGTACTAGTATACTACACTATACACTACACTTATACACTGCACTACACTCTACACTACACTATAAACTAGTGCTGTACTAGTATACTACACTATACACTACACTCTACACTACACACTAGTGCTGTACTAGTATACTACACTATACACTACACTACTATACACATCACTATACACTACACTTATGCACTGCACTACACTCTACACTACACACTAGTGCTGTACTAGTATACTACACTATACACTACACTATATACTACACTTATACAACTGCACTACACTCGACACTACACTATAAACTAGTGCTGTACTAGTATACTACACTATACACTACACTTATACACTGTACTACACTATACACTACACTATACACTATAAACTAGTGCTGTACTAGTATACTACACTATACACTACACTTATGTACTGCACTACACTCTACACTACACTATACACTATAAACTAGTGCTGTACTAGTATACTACACTATACACTACACTATACACTACACTTATACACTGTACTACACTATACACTACACACTAGTGCTGTACTAGTATACTACACTATACACTACACTTATGTACTGCACTACACTCTACACTACACTATACACTATAAACTAGTGCTGTACTAGTATACTACACTATACACTACACTTATACACTGTACTACACTATACACTACACACTAGTGCTGTACTAGTATACTACACTATACACTACTGTACACTACACTTATGCACTGCACTACACTATACACTACACTACACACTAGTGCTGTACTAGTATACTACACTATACACTACACTTATGCACTGCACTACACTCTACACTACACTATACACTATAAACTAGTGCTGTACTAGTATACTACACTATACACTACACTTATACACTGTACTGCACTATACACTACACACTAGTGCTGTACTAGTATACTACACTATACACTACTGTACACTACACTTATGCACTGCACTACACTATACACTACACTACACACTAGTGCTGTACTAGTATACTACACTATACACTACACTTATGCACTGCACTACACTCTACACTACACTATAAACTAGTGCTGTACTAGTATACTACACTATACACTACTGTACACTATACTTATGCACTGCACTACACTCTACACTATACACTACACTATACACTACACTACTATACACTATGCACTAGTGCTGTACTAGTATACTATACACTACACTATACACTACACTTATGCACTGCACTACACTCTACACTACACTATACACTACGCACTAGTGCTGTACTAGTGATGAATTGGCCACGTTCTGTTTACGTGACAACCCTTACTAGTTGGCTGTGTCGGGTTATTTTAACGACAGATCTAACCCAAAAAAAACTTCTACTATAAATCACAATGCAGTATCACCAACGACATCAACAAAACCATTGCTAACTCAGAGTAACCCTTCCACTCCTTTAAAATGCCTTCAATTGCCTTGGCAAACGTTGAACGCCGCAGGCACTCGTTCTGCCGCACGGCAAGAAGGGCCTGGGTTTGATTCCCGACTCGGGGTTGACGTTCTTGCCCCCTTCTTCTTGGTTCTTTCGGTAAAGTCACGTAGAATGGAAATAATAAAATAATGAAAATAAAACATAATAAAATAATTCTCACGACGTTTCGGCCACAACGCAAGCACCCGTCCTCAGGTGAAGAACAGGTCTGTCGGAAAGACAGCGTCTGAATGGGCACCACCAGGCTTGGCAGCGTATATTTAAGCTGGGTTGGAGGATGTAGAGCGCCTTGACAAAAGAATGTGCATATAAAGAGGAATTTAGCATATTTATGGGAAATGCAAATATGGGATTAAGTTCTTGCCCCCTCTTCTGTTACGAGTGCGTGAGACTGGGCCTTCACAGGTGCTCGTTAATAAGAATAATTCATTTCTTAGGAACCTTCCACGAACTGTGACTAACAGACTGTTGCTCCAACAGTCTGTTATATATACACTACACACTATACACTACACACTAGTGCTGCTGTCGCTCCAACAGTGTAACGGGTTCCGGAGACACTTGTAGAGGTAACTTCTTTATTACAATACAACACTCCAACAGTCCAACGCTCCAACAGTACTCCCAACTCTCCAACAGTCCTGATACTCTGTTACAGCCTAGGTACACAGCCTAGCTACACAGCCTAGATACTCTACTCTGGCTACGCTCCGGAACTCGCCCTCACAAGGTCGTAGAGTCGAGAGTTCCAGAGTCGGGAGTTCCAGAGTCCCAGCGCTGGCTCTCGCAGCATCCCAGGGTCTTCAGATGGCTGGTCGTGGGTCTTGGGTCTTGAGTTCCAACTGGCCCTGATCGTCCAGGGAGCTCTCCTTTTATGCCTGGTCTAACGAGGGGTGGGGCCGTGTGCGCCACCAGACATCCCACAGAGCACACACAGCCCCCCCCCCCCCCCCCCCCCCGTTGGCGGCGCCAAAAAGGCTTAAGCGCCTGGGAACCCAACGCCTGGCGCCCAGAGGCTTAAGCGTCTGGACCCCCTGGGAACCCAGCGCCTGGCGCCCAGAGGCTTAAGCGTCTGGACCCACCTGGGAACCCAGAGCCCCCAGCAGCCCCTCCCTTCTTATGTCACTACACAGGCGATCCGCATGTCTTCGTGCGAGTGGAGTTTGTACGTGATCTCCCTCCCCCTGTTCAGTGATGGGTTTCCTACAGGTTCTCTGATTCCCTCCCACAGCTAAAACCACACACACTGTGGAACTGCCACTGGCCAAACTACATCTCAATCTCAGGGGCGCTGCCGTGGCGAGATGTTACCTCCAACGCCTGGAATACAGGAGGTCGTGGGTTCGATCCCGACCCTTGACGCCTGCTGCTGTCTATTTGGAGTTTGTATATCACTCTCCCCGTGGTTGCGTTGATCTTTCTCCAGATCCTCTGGTTTTCCCCTCCACATTTAGAATCAACATCACACGTTTAAGAGTATTTGTCTGCTATGAATTTGCACGTGATAAGCCACTTCGTTGAGCTTCTAAAAAAGAGCTACACAGCTCAGCGGGCCTTACCTGGTAAAATAAAAAATACAGATTCAGTTTCAACGCTGTAAGATTGCCCGCATATCACTCGGAATCAGAATGTTTATTTTTTCTGGGAGAAATCCGATGAGTTACGGAAGCTTTTTTTTCACAGCTGTCTAGAAGGGATCACACAGCAGGACCCTCCTGACCACCGCCCTCTGACCCCCCCAGGTTTTAAGATCAAACCGCGCGCGCCTCCATCGGCCCCCTGGTGCCCCCTCCACCGCCCGCACCCCGGAGGGCGTGTCGGGAGAGGGGCCGGCGGCCGGCAGCTACCTGGAGGCCCCCCGAGACACCGAGGACCCCGAAGCGCCAGGGCCACTCCCCCCCGGCTCTCCGGCGGGGTTCGCGGTGGCGGCCATAACGAGGGCCTTCGCTCGGGATCCTGCAGCCCACGGGGATGGTCGTCATCGTCATCGTCGTCGCCGTCGTCGCCGTTGTCGGTGGAGGTGGTGGAGGCGGTGGAGGTGGAACAAGAGGGAGACGGGGGGCACTCGGGCGACCCCCGTGCCTCCCCGCTGAACGCCGCCTCCGTGTGACGCTCTGCGTCCTCCTGCTGGCCTTCGTCCTGTCGTGGGGGCCGCTCTTCGCCGTCATGTGGGTGGTGGAGGCCGACGTGGCCTCGGGGCCGCGCGGGGACGCGGGGGGCGGCGGCGACGACGACGACGACTGGCGGCGGGCCCCGGGGAGACGAGAGGAGCGAGGGGCTCATGCTCACGTCCACGGCCTTCGTGTGGGCCCTCATCGCCTGCCTGGCCGGGGCTGCCGCTAACCCCTGGCTCTACGGGGACCTCCGCTCGCGGCTGTGCGGGCCTGGAGCCCTGCGGCGCCCTTCCTGCTGTCGCTGCCAACGCGAGACGGACGACCCGGAGCGAGACTCCCACCACGGCTCCCGGATCCGAACTCCTCCAGCGGCGGCGATGCCAGCGATGCCGACCCCGCGCGGAGAGGGAGCAGGAGCCGGGGGCCCCCAGGATGCCCCACGGCCTTGGGGACCAACGGCCGCCCCCTGTCCCCCAAACTTGGCCCCCCCATGGGGACGAGAGCGGCGTTACGCTGGAGCTGTCGATGTGAAAGGAGGGCAGCCGCCCCGCGTGCCACACCACGTCCAGCGGCACGTCTCCTCTCACCTTATTTTATGTTTATACAAAGCACCTTGGACTTGGAGAAGGCGTCTGACCATGTTCTTCGGAATGTTTTGCCGGAGGCGCTGCGGGAGTACGATGTACCGGCGCCGCTTTTATTTGCTATCCTGTCTTGTTGACGCTTCTGTCTTGTTGACAGGATATCGAGGCGCAGCCGTGGTATTGAGAGTATCCAGTACAGGGGGCATGGAGGTCGCATTGCAGACGACGTTGTTTCCTCTTTGCCTTGTCAGTCTGCGATCTCCAACGGACACTTGGACGGTTTGATGCCGAGTGCGAAGCGGCTGGGGTAAGGATCAGCACCTCCAAATCTGAGGTCGTGGTTCACTCCTGGGAGATGGTTGAATGTGCTCTCCAGGCGAGGGGGGAACTGCTGCCCCTAGTGGACGAGTTTAAGTACCTCGGGGTCCTCTTTCGCGAGTGATGGTATGTGCTGTTTCGTGGTAGTAAAGCAGGAGCTGAGTTCTCGAACAAAGCTCTCCGTTTACGAGTCGAGCGACATTCCCAAGCTCACCTATGGTCATGAGCTTTGGGTAATGACCGAATAGATGAGATGACGGTACAAGGAGCCAAAAACACATTGTCCTGCTCAGGGAGCTGGTAGGAACACGTTGGGTTGCTCGGTCAATGGCCTGCAGGGTCAACGGCCAGGACGTGGTGTATTCCGCAAATATGCCCGACTGTGAGGGCGTGCACAAGCCGGCGTGAGTAGGTAAAACGTTGAGTTTTATAAGGGCACCACAGGGTGACCAGCCCCTCCTCACCCAGCCCCACCCCCCACCCAGCCCAGCCCCTCCCTCCCCACCCAGCCCCTCCCCACCCAGCCCCACCCTCCCCACCCAGCCCCTCCCTGCACGACGGACACAATAATCCCCTGTGGGCTGGTGTAACCAGGAGGTTCCTACTAGTGTGGGGTTTCTCTGCGGGGTTGCCAGGCTCACTCTCCGTGGTCGAGTGAGGAGCTCTGTAATCCGCAAGAGCCTCAGAATCGAGCCGTTGCTCCTCTGGGTCGAAAGGAGCCAGTTGAAGTGGCTCGAGCACCTGGTTAGGATGCCCCCTCCCCCGTAGACTCCCGCTGGAACTCTACCAGGCACTATTCTTTGGTTCTTTCGGTAAAGTCACGTATAAAGATAAAACAATAAATTAAATAGCATACTACGTTTCGATTGCAACACAAGCAATCATCATCGTACTCATTGACATGTAAATGTTTTCTCTAACCCCTCCCTCTCTCTGCCTCCGCCCCCTTTCTGTCTATTTAAGGCCACCCCACAGAGACGATCTCCCTCTCTGTAACTGTGTTGCTCTCTCTCTGTGTATCTTGGCGATATCTGTCTGCTTATATGTCTGTCTATAGTTTTCTGGTTAGATTCTATGTCGCTATTTCATTATACCTGATGATGATTGCTTGTGTTGCAATCGAAACGTCGTATGCTATTATTGAATTTATTATTTTATCTTTATACGTGCACTTTACCGAAAGAACCAAAGAGTAATTCCTGCAGTCACGAAAGCTCCAAAATAAAGATTCCACCAGGCGACCCTCACCAGGACCAGCAGATTGAGAAACGAATGAACAGAGCGCCTTAGTTCCACCGGAAGACGGAAGCTTGTGTTGCCTCCGAAACGTCGTGATTTTTATTTTACTTTTATTAATTTTAATTTTTTTCACCTACGTGACTTTACCGAAAATAATCTAAGAATATGAATCCTTGCAGTTACGAAAGCTTCAAATCTAGAATTAATACCCTCTACGGGGAGGAATTCCACCTATCTGGTAAGAGTTTTTAACAGACAACGAGACAAGAAGTCACAGCTTCTCGAGACGCTGGCCTTCCTAAAGAGATGCCGAGATAACAAGGTCATACCCATCGCTACAAATACTGTTTTCTTGGAATTTCTCTCACTTGATGCAGCTATCGTGCTGTGACGGTTCCACCTGAAGACGGAAGCTTGTGTTGCCTCCGAAACGTCGTGATTTTTATTTTACTTTTATTAATTTATCGGGGAGGGTACGGGTACACGATTGCGACCTCTGGGATGAAGCCATGTTGCAGGCGCGGGTGGGTTGATTCTAGGAACTTGAATTGTGAGAAGAGACAAGACGTTGGGAAATGAGTGACAAACGGTTACTCTTTTCGATTTAAAGCTTTCGTGACTGCAGGGATTCATCTTCTTGGTTCTTTCAGTAAAGTCACGTAGAAGGGAAGTAATAAAATAATAAAAATGAAACATAATAAAATAAAATACTTCTCACTTTATTTTATTTTATTTTTATTATGTTTTATTTTTATTATTTTATTACTTCCCTTCTACGTGACTTTACCGAAAGAACCAAGAAGATGAAACGGTGACTCACCAGTGACTCACAGCCTACCCGTACACGGCCGCACCAGGGTCGCAAACGGGTACCCGTATCCGTACCCGGCCGGGTACGGGTAGCCGGGTATTGGGTAGGGTACGGGTATCGGGTACCCGGTTGCGACCTCTGGTATATAGGTAGGGCACGTGGGCGGGGCTAGCCCCGCCCACGTGCCCTACCTCTATAGCCTCTTGTCACGGCAGCTCTCTCGCCTGCTTCAGCAGTTCCCCCGCTGCGATCGTCTCGCCTGGTGACGGCCGCTTGCGTCGCGATCGAAACGTCCTCCGTGACTTCACCGAAAGAACCGAAGAGCAGTGATCCACATCCTTAACCAGGCTCCGTGCCGACCACTCCACTAGGCCACTGGTCGCCGTTACATTCCTCGTGCGATTTTCCGGCCGGGGACCGTGCGGTCAGACCGCCCGCCCTCGCCAGGCAGAACGCCGGCGGCCCATCATCCCTCGGAGGGGGATAAAGGCGGTAACCGCGTTGCGGCAAGCGCGGCGATCGCCCTCGCCCCCGGCCGCCACAGTCACGGCGTCAGCGTGGAGGGAGACGGAGGGGGGAGCGGGGAGAGGCCCGGGGGTGCCCCCGGGGCAGGGAGGCCTCGGCGCGCAGCGCGTCCCTGCGAGCCCTGAGGGCCCTCTCCTGGGCCCCGAGGGCCCGCGCCTCCTGTCCGAGGGCCCGTAGCTCGGCACGCATCCGCTCGTTCTCCTGGCGCGCGCGCGCGGCCAGCTCTTCCGCACAGCGTCGCGCGGCCTAATGGGGGGGGGGGGGCATGGGGTCGTGAGAGGCTTGCGGGGTCGGGGTTCAAAGAACGAGAGTGAAATTTAAAAGTCGATGGGTTGATGGCCGATGGACAAGAGTAACGACGGAGTGGTGGCCGAGGAATGGAACGCGTTCGAGAGCACGTGCACGGAGGAGATGGAGCGATGGAATCAGCTGGTGCGCTACGTGTTGTTGTTATTATAACGAGAGCACGTGCACGGGGGAGATGGAGCGATGGAATCAGCTGGTGCGCTACGTGTCGTTGTTATTATAACGAGAGGACGTGCACGGGGGAGATGGAGCGATGGAATCGGCTGGTGCGCTACGTGTTGTTGTTATTATAACGAGAGGACGTGCACGGGGGGAGATGGAGCGATGGAATCAGCTGGTGTGCTACGTGTTGTTGTTGTTATAACGAGAGGACGTGCACGGGGGAGATGGAGCGATGGAATCGGCTGGTGCGCTACGTGTTGTTGTTATTATAACGAGAGGACGTGCACGGGGGGAGATGGAGCGATGGAATCAGCTGGTGTGCTACGTGTTGTTGTTGTTATAACGAGAGGACGTGCACGGGGGAGATGGAGCGATGGAATCAGCTGGTGTGCTACGTGTTGTTGTTGTTATAACGAGAGGACGTGCACGGGGGAGATGGAGCGATGGAATCAGCTGGTGCGCTGCGTGTTGTTGTTATAATGCCGCAGGATCATTACGGGTGGCGCGGGGGACACGGGGAGGCCTTCATCCAGCAGTGGATTGACAACGATGAGGATCACGGGAATGAAACCCGAATTAAAACTCAGAACCTCAGCAGTGACGGCTCTATGTTGACACGCTTTTAATTAACTCTGTTGTTGTTATATATTGTTGGTTCTTTCGGTGAAGTCACGTAGAAGGGAAGTAATAAAACAATAAAAATAAAACATAATAAAATAAAATAATTCTCACGACGTTTCGGCTACAACGCAAGCAGCCGTCTTCAGGTGAAGAATGAGACACTGCCAAGCTAGGAGCTTATATATAAGCTGCGTTGGAGGTGGAAGAAGAAAAGCGCCTTGACAAAAGAATGTGCATATCAAGAGGAATTTCGCAGTCACGAAAGCTTTAAATCGAAATCTGTTGTTGTTATGTATTCTTGGTTCTTTTGGTGAAGTCACGTAAAAGGGAAATACAGAAAGAACCAAGAATACGAATCCCTGCAGTCACGAAAGCTTTACATCAAAATCTGTTGCTGTTCTTCTTGGTTCTTTCGGTAAAGTTACGTAGAAGGGAAATAATAAAATAATAAAAATAAAACATAATAAAATAATTTTCACGACGTTTCGGCCACAATGCAAGCAGCCGTCCTCAGGTGAAGAACGGCTGCTTGCGTTGTGGCCGAAACGTCGTGAGAATTATTTTATTATTTTATTATTTCATTTCTACGTGATGACTTTACCGAAAGAACCAAGAATATGAATCCCTGCAGTCACGAAATAAGCTTTAAATCAAAATCTATTGTCGTTGTCGTACCTCAACTAAATTTTTACCCACTTCCCAATATGGTACCGACTGCAAACTTGGTATACTTATGTCATAGTGATGACAATACTATATATCATTAAAATAAGTATAACCCGTAAAAACAAAGTTTTTCACTATAAATCCTTTATATGCGTGGCGGCTAGAGTCCTCTCGTCCTCTGGCTTGAGATGGCTGCCACCTATGGGTCAGATGATTGTCTGCCAGTATTAAGCAATTGGTAATTAAATATTTAATTTGTTTTCCCTAAACTGTGTAAAATTTTGGAAAAAAATTTCACGAACATTAATTGTCTCGCACAACGAGTCTGTGTGCAAAATGTCAGCTCGATTGGATCACGGGAAGTGGGTTAAAAAACGACCGAAAGATTTGCACGGTCGTAAGCAAGCAAGCACGCACGCACGCAAGCAAGCAAGCGAACTTAATATAAAGGATTTAAAAACCATATATTTTAAAACATTTTTTACATGTTATGTTTCGGCTTGGCTCTAAACTGACGTTGGCTGTAACTCACCACTGTCCCTTACGTTAATGGCAAACTTCGGGGCAACTTCCTGGAGTCGTGGAGTTCTTCCATTACTAGTACGGTACATTTCATTAAAGCGTGTTTTTTTTTTAAAAGTTGTTTTAAAAATGTTTTTATTTGACCAGGGCAAGGCTGCATAGCACTTCTTCAGAAGCGACCAGCCCATCGCGAATGAGAGCTCAACAAAATGGCTTCTCGTCATCACGTGGAGATTCATAGCGGCCGCCACGTACTTCGAAGCGCACGTTTGTAAGTGCGGCGAGAAAAAACTGAGGACCCGGAGAGAGAATCCACGCGACCACGGGGCGAGGGACACGCAAACTGCAAATACACAGCAGCAGACGTCAGGGTCGGGGTGGAACCCACGACCTCCTGTACACCAGGCGAGGTTGTTAACATCTCCTAGCCACCGTGATGATTGTGATGAGAGAGAGAGAGACACTCAAACTCCAAATACACAGCAGACGTCAGGGTCGGGGTGGAACCCACGACCTCCTGTACACCAGGCGAGGCAGTTAACATCTCCTAGCCACCGTGATGATGATGAGAGAGAGAGACACGCAAACTCCAAATATACAACAGCAGGCGTCAGGGTCGGGATTGAACCCACGACCTCCTGTAGACCAGGCGAGGTTGTTAACATCTCCTAGCCACCGTGATGATGATGAGAGAGAGAGACACGCAAACTCCAAATATACAACAGCAGGCGTCAGGGTCGGGATTGAACCCACGACCTCCTGTAGACCAGGCGAGGTTGTTAACATCTCCTAGCCACCGTGATGATGATGAGAGAGACACGCAAACTGCAAATACACAGCAGACGTCAGGGTCGGGGTGGAACCCACGACCTCCTGTACACCAGGCGAGGTAGTTAACATCTCCTAGCCACCGTGATGATGATGAGAGAGACACGCAAACTTTAAATATACAGCAGACGTCAGGGTAGGGGTGGAACTCACGACCTCCTGTACACCAGGCGAGGTAGTTAACATCTCCTAGCCACCGTGATGATGATGAGAGAGAGAGAGAGACACGCAAACTCGAAACACACAACAGACGTCAGGGTCGGGATGGAACCCACGACCTCCTGTACACCAGGCAAGGTTGTTAACATCTCCTAGCCACCGTGATGATGATGAGAGAGAGAGAGAGACACGCAAACTCGAAACACACAACAGACGTCAGGGTCGGGATGGAACCCACGACCTCCTGTACACCAGGCAAGGTTGTTAACATCTCCTAGCCACCGTGATGATGATGAGAGAGACACGCAAACTCCAAATATACAGCAGCAGACGTCAGGGTCGGGATGGAACCCACGACCTCCTGTAGACCAGGCGAGGTAGTTAACATCTCCGAGCCACCGTGATGATGATGAGAGAGAGAGAGACACGCAAACTCGAAACACACAACAGACGTCAGGGTCGGGATGGAACCCACGACCTCCTGTACACCAGGCGAGGTTGTTAACATCTCCTAGCCACCGTGATGATGATGAGAGAGAGAGAGACACGCAAACTCCAAACACACAGCAGACGTCAGGGTCGGGGTGGAACCCACGACCTCCTGTACACCAGGCGAGGTAGTCAACATCTCCTAGCCACCGTGCACAGGGTCATGAGGCTGTGGTTCTCAACATTTGTGGTGGACGAGTATAGCTCACCGTGTGAGGAGGTGGAGGAGGTAGAGGAGGAGGAGGTGGAGGAGGAGGTAGAGGAGGAGGTGGAGGAGGAGGTAGAGGAGGAGGTAGAGGAGGAGGTAGAAGAGGAGGTGGTGGAGGAGGAGGTAGAGGAGGTGGTAGAGGAGGAGGTAGAGGAGGTGGAGGAGGTGGTGGAGGAGGAGGTGGTGGAGGAGGAGGTAGAGGTAGAGGAGGAGGTGGAGGAGGAGGTGGAGGAGAAGGTAGAGGTAGAGGAAGAGGTGGAGGTAGAGGAGGAGGTGGAGGAGGAGGTAGAGGAGGAGGTAGAGGAAGAGGTAGAGGAGGAGGAGGTAGAGGAGTTGGTGGTAGAGGAGATAGAGGAGGAGGTGGAGGAGGTAGACGAGGAGGTAGAGGTAGAGGAGGAGGAGGTAGAGGAGGTAGAGGAGGAGGTAGAGGAGGAGGTAGAGGAGGAGGAGGTAGAGGAGGAGGTAGAGGAGGAGGTGGAGGAGGAGGAGGTAGAGGAGGAGGTGGAGGAGGAGGTAGAGGAGGAGGTAGAGGAGGAGGAGGAGGTAGAGGAGGAGGTAGAGGAGGAGGTAGAGGAGGAGGTAGAGGAGGAGGTGGAGGAGGAGGAGGAGCTAGGGTAGGGGGGGGTCCGCTCACCGCGTGGGCCTGCCGCCCCAGGCTGGCGGCGCGCGAGGCGGCCTGCTCCGCGTGCTGCTCGGCGCCCCGCTCCCGCCGCTCCGCGTGGGCGGCCGCGCGCCGCTGGCGCTCGCTCAGCTCCCGCCGCAGGGCCTCCTCCAGCGCCCGCCCCGCCGCCTCCTCCCGCTGGCGCTGGGCCTGCACGCACCGCGGACACCACAAGGCCTCAACGCCATGGCCTGCACGCACCGCGGACACCACAAGGCCTCACCACCACGTCCTGCACGCACCAGGGTCAAGGTTCAGGAGCCAGGGTCAAGGTTCAGGAGTCAGGGTCAAGGTTCAGGAGTCAGGGTCAAGGTTCAGGAGCCAGTGTTATGGTTGAGGAGCCAGGGTTATGGTTCAGGAGCCAGGGTCAAGGTTCAGGAGCCAGGGTTATGGTCCAGGAGCCAGGGTCAAGGTTCAGGAGCCAGGGTCAAGGTTCAGGAACCAGGGTTATGGGTCAGTGTTCAGGGGGCGGGAGCAGCCTTGGCCCTGACCTGCACATCGTTCAGCTTCTCCATCTCACGCGTCACCTGGGCCAGCTCTGCCTCCTTCTCCAGCAACACCGCGGTCAACTCTACAGGTGAGGGGCCATACAGGTGAGATGACAGGTCAGTGTCTAGACAGGTGAGGTGACAGGTCAGTGTCTAGACAGGTGAGGTGACAGGTGAGGGATTACACAGGTGAGGTGACAGGTCAGTGTCTAGACAGGTGAGGTGACAGGTCAGTGTCTAGACAGGTGAGGTGACAGGTGAGTGTCTAGACAGGTGAGGTGACAGGTGAGGGGTTACACAGGTGAGGTGACAGGTCAGTGTCTAGACAGGTGAGGTGACAGGTGAGGGGCCACACAGGTGAGGTGACAGGTGAGTGTCTAGACAGGTGAGGTGACAGGTGAGTGTCTACACAGGTGAGGTGACAGGTCAGTGTCTAGACAGGTGAGGTGACAGGTGAGGTGACAGGTCAGTGTCTAGACAGGTGAGGTGACAGGTCAGTGTCTAGACAGGTGAGGTGACAGGTGAGGGGTTACACAGGTGAGGTGACAGGTCAGTGTCTAGACAAGTGAGGTGACAGGTCAGTGTCTAGACAGGTGAGGTGACAGGTCAGTGTCTAGACAAGTGAGGTGACAGGTCAGTGTCTAGACAGGTGAGGTGACAGGTGAGGGGTTACACAGGTGAGGTGACAGGTCAGTGTCTAGACAGGTGAGGTGACAGGTGAGGGGCCACACAGGTGAGGTGACAGGTCAGTGTCTAGACAGGTGAGGTGACAGGTCAGTGTCTAGACAGGTGAGGGTGACAGGTGAGGGGCCACACAGGTGAGGTGACAGGTGAGGGGTTACACAGGTGAGGTGACAGGTCAGTGTCTAGACAAGTGAGGTGACAGGTCAGTGTCTAGACAGGTGAGGTGACAGGTGAGGGGCCACACAGGTGAGGTGACAGGTGAGGGGTTACACAGGTGAGGTGACAGGTCAGTGTCTAGACAGGTGAGGTGACAGGTGAGGGGCCACACAGGTGAGGTGACAGGTCAGTGTCTAGACAGGTGAGGTGACAGGTGAGGGGCCACACAGGTGAGGTGACAGGTGAGTGTCTAGACAGGTGAAGTGACAGGTCAGTGTCTAGACAGGTGAGGTGACAGGTGAGGGGCCACACAGGTGAGGTGATAGGTGAGTGTCTAGACAGGTGAGGTGACAGGTGAGTGTCTAGACAGGTGAGGTGACAGGTCAGTGTGTAGATAGGTGAAGTGAGGGGTTACACAGTTGAGGTGACAGGTGAGGGGCCACACAGGTGAGGTGATAGGTGAGTGTCTAGACAGGTGAGGTGACAGGTCAGTGTCTAGACCGGTGAGGTGACAGGTGAGTGTCTAGACCGGTGAGGTGACAGGTCAGTGTCTAGACAGGTGAGGTGACAGGTCAGTGTCTAGACAGGTGAGGTGACAGGTCAGTGTCTAGACAGGTGAGGTGACAGGTCAGTGTCTAGACCGGTGAGGTGACAGGTCAGTGTCTAGACAGGTGAGGTGACAGGTGAGTGTCTAGACCGGTGAGGTGACAGGTGAGTGTCTAGACCGGTGAGGTGACAGGTCAGTGTCTAGACCGGTGAGGTGACAGGTGAGTGTCTAGACCGGTGAGGTGACAGGTGAGTGTCTAGACCGGTGAGGTGACAGGTCAGTGTCTAGACCGGTGAGGTGACAGGTGAGTGTCTAGACCGGTGAGGTGACAGGTGAGTGTCTAGACCGGTGAGGTGACAGGTCAGTGTCTAGACAGGTGAGGTGACAGGTCAGTGTCTAGACAGGTGAGGTGACAGGTGAGTGTCTAGACAGGTGAGGTGACAGGTGAGTGTCTAGACCGGTGAGGTGACAGGTCAGTGTCTAGACAGGTGAGGTGACAGGTCAGTGTCTAGACAGGTGAGGTGACAGGTCAGTGTCTAGACAGGTGAGGTGACAGGTCAGTGTCTAGACCGGTGAGGTGACAGGTGAGTGTCTAGACCGGTGAGGTGACAGGTCAGTGTCTAGACAGGTGAGGTGACAGGTCAGTGTCTAGACAGGTGAGGTGACAGGTCAGTGTCTAGACAGGTGAGGTGACAGGTCAGTGTCTAGACCGGTGAGGTGACAGGTCAGTGTCTAGACAGGTGAGGTGACAGGTGAGTGTCTAGACAGGTGAGGTGACAGGTCAGTGTCTAGACAGGTGAGGTGACAGGTCAGTGTCTAGACAGGTGAGGGTGACAGGTGAGTGTCTAGACAGGTGAGGTGACAGGTGAGGGGTTACACAGGTGAGGTGACAGGTCAGTGTCTAGACAGGTGAGGGGTTACACAGGTGAGGTGATAGGTCAGTGTCTAGACAGGTGAGGGGTTACACAGGTGAGGTGACAGGTGAGTGTCTAGACAGGTGAGGTGACAGGTCAGTGTCTTGACAGGTGAGGTGACAGGTGAGGGGTCACACAAGGGAGGTGATTTTTTCGTAAAGCCCTCAGTCCTCAGCGTTGTAGAAGTGTTGACGTGGTTACGTGCGAGTGTGAGTGTGGAGCGGCAGTGTAGCGGTCAGCGCTACGCTGCGTAACAAACTCGGCTTCCCGCTCGCGGCCAACACCGGTGACGATTATCTAAACCGGTCCTGGAACCTCCCTTAGGTCGACTCAGCCTCAAACGAGTACCTGGTGCGTGTGCCGTGCCGGCCTTGATAGGTGCCGTTCGGAAAAAAATTTGAAGGAACCGGAAAGAGACGTGGACCTCGCAGAGACCGAGCATATCGGCACTACGCGACAGAAGTGGAAACAAAAATTTATTAAATGTGCAGTGTGCGCCTACCACAGGGCTCTCCGCCCCACGGATCGTGATGACGATGACGACTGGCTCACAGCACTTGCCCCAGCAGTCTGTGGAAGGCTATACGGGGGCGGGGGGGGTCTTTGTCTTTGTGAGTGCGGCGTGGGGAGGCCTCACCTTCTCTGCGCGCTCGCAGGCACGCCCGGGCCTCCTCCCCGCGCCGAGCCAGCTCCTGCAGCTGCCAGCGGTTCTGCTCGGCGAGGGACACGATGAGGTCCCTCCTCTTCTCACCTCGTCTCCACATGAACGACGCGTACTCCTGCTGCAGCGCCCCGCATCCACATCGCCCGTCGTCGTTATCGTCGTCGTCGTTGTTGTTGTCATCGTCGTCGTCGTCGTCATCGTCGTCATCGTTGTCGTCGTTATCATCGTCGTCATCGTCGTCGTCATCGTCGTCATCGTCGTTATTGTCGTCGTCATCGTCATCATCATCGTCGTCATCATCGTCATCATCATCGTCGTCATCGTCATCATCATCGTCGTCATCATCGTCATCAGCATCATCGTCATCATCGTCGTCGTCATCATCATCATCGTCATCATCATCGTCATCATCATCGTCATCATCGTCGTCGTCATCATCATCGTCGTCATCATCATCGTCATCATCGTCGTCATCGTCGTCGTCATCATCATCATCATCGTCATCATCATCGTCGTCATCATCGTCATCATCATCGTCATCAGCATCATCGTCATCATCGTCGTCATCGTCATCATCATCGTCGTCATCATCATCGTCATCATCATCGTCATCATCATCGTCATCATCGTCGTCATCATCGTCATCATCATCATCGTCATCATCATCGTCATCATCGTCGTCATCATCATCGTCATCATCATCGTCATCATCATCGTCATCATCGTCGTCATCATCATCGTCATCATCATCGTCATCATCATCGTCATCATCGTCGTCATCATCGTCGTCGTCATCATCATCATCGTCATCATCGTCATCATCATCGTCATCATCGTCGTCATCATCATCATCATCGTCGTCATCATCATCGTCGTCATCATCATCGTCATCATCATCGTCATCATCATCGTCATCATCGTCGTCATCATCATCGTCATCATCATCGTCATCATCGTCGTCATCATCGTCGTCGTCATCATCATCATCGTCATCATCGTCATCATCATCGTCATCATCGTCGTCATCATCATCATCATCGTCGTCATCATCATCGTCGTCATCATCATCGTCATCATCATCGTCATCATCATCGTCATCATCGTCGTCATCATCATCGTCATCATCATCGTCATCATCGTCGTCATCATCGTCGTCGTCATCATCATCATCGTCATCATCGTCATCATCATCGTCATCATCGTCATCATCATCATCATCGTCGTCATCATCATCGTCGTCATCATCATCGTCATCATCATCGTCATCATCGTCGTCATCATCGTCGTCGTCATCATCATCATCGTCATCATCATCGTCATCATCGTCATCATCATCGTCGTCGTCATCATCATCATCGTCATCATCGTCATCATCATCGTCATCATCGTCGTCATCATCATCATCATCGTCGTCATCATCGTCGTCATCATCGTCGTCGTCATCGTCATCATCGTCGTCATCATCATCGTCGTCATCGTCATCATCGTCATTATCATCCTCGTCGTCATCATCGTCATCATCCTCGTCGTCGTCGTCATCGTAGACCAGGCGAGGTAGTCAACATCTCCTAGCCACTCACGCTGTCGAGCCTCGTCTGCTGGGCCCCTGTCTGCAGCATCTCGTTCTGTTCCCGGCTGAAGATGCGGCAGTGGGGGGGGGGGCAGGCGAGTCAAGGAAGAGACATTTTGGTGGGGGGGGGGGGCACGTGATGGAGGGGGGGGCACGTGGTGCAGGGGGGGGCACGTGGTGGGGGGCACGTGGTAGAGGGGGGGGGCACGTGGTGGAGGTGGAGGGGGGGGCACGTGATGGAGGGGGGGGGCACGTGGGTCGTTGAGGCTCAGGGGAGTGACAGAGGCGCCTCTAAACGGGAGATCTTGAAAGCCTCGCTGAGGACACAATGTCGTGTGTGGACAACGAGATGTGTGCGGAGAGTCAGAGAGGACCCTGGGAGGTGTGAGGACCTCACAGAGGGTCAGAGGTCGCAAACGGGTTTTGATTCCTTACCCGTACCCGTACCCGGCCGCACCAGGGTCGCAAATGGGTACTCGTACCGTACCCGGCTGGGTACGGGTAGCCGGGTATCGGGTAGGGTACGGGTATCGGGTACCTGATTGCGACCTCTGGGATGAAGCCATGTTGCAGGCGCGGGTGGGTTGATTCTAGGAACTTGAATTGTGAGAAGAGACAAGACGTTGGGAAATGAGTGACAAACGGTGACTCACCAGTGATTCACGGCCTACCCGTACCCGGCCGCACCAGGGTCGCAAGCGGCTACCCGTACCCGGCCGGGTACGGGTAGCCGGGTATCGGGTAGGGTACGGG